ATCAACATGAAAATTGAACAGTGAACCGGTTTTGTTTTAGTTTTTCCCTTCATTTGACATCATTGAATGTGAAGCATAGTTTTGCCTTAAGACAAGATGATGTGACATTTTTGTTTTACTCTTGTTAATTATCGTTGAAACTATGACTCGTTGGGTATTTCGATTGTAACTCTCCTGTCTTTCTACCTCACTCGCTCGCTCTCTCTCTAATTAATGAAAAAAAAAAAGGAAAAGGTCACTAAAAGAAACAAAAAACACCAACAAAACTGAATTCTCTACATAATTTAAGATGATTTTGCCTAAACATGAAATCTACTCTTTTGAGTTATTGTATTGTAGTGAAGGAGAACACAAGTGAGGGCAACCGAATCGCATTTATCTGCAATTACAGAATTAATTGGTAAAATAAGAAAACCATATCGTAAATCGTTAATTTGCAAAATATAAATCCATCATATCGAAATGGATTGTTCCTGTTGTAAAACATCAATCCATTGTCTGACATTTCACCGCTCATGCGTTTCATACAAATTCCATTGTGGTCTAACTATTCCTTTCTTGGTCTTCCCCCCATCTTCTGCTGCCAGACATTACGTTTACACTCACGTCATATACTACTTATAAGTAGCGCGCACTACAGTATGAAAAAAATTAGGATACGACCATGAAAAGAAAGTTTCCTTTCCTTTGGTGAAGATGTGTATATGCGTACATTGGATTTATTAATTAGAATATATAAAATGGAAATTTTTATAAAAAAAACAATCATTGCATCGCACAATAAAAAGTAATTGAAAATATATCCAAGTATTAAATGAAACTACGTAATATAAATCAAATAGATGATACTTGAATGAAAAATATTTGATCAATGCATCCTAGTTCATGTTAGTTAGTAGTAAAGCTAAAGTTCTAAGTGAATATCAGTGGGAATGAGTTTTAAGGAGAAAACATTACTAAACAAGGTATGTAACCGAGAAACTGTTAAAAAAAGCGTAGTTTTTTTTCACAAAGAGTACGCATATAAGTTTTACGATTGACTACCATGACGAGCATAGTTGTCCGATGTAAGAGTAGGTTGGAAGAAGGCTAGGAGTGATCAGACCAAAACATGACATAAATCTATGAAGTAATTGATAGCTGGACTGAGCCATCTTAGTAGTTATAGACTACCTGGTTGGGGTCCGCAATGGTTAGAGATTGTAAATGACATGGTTTAAAATCGTTTGCTGTAGCTCAGGTGCATCAGTTGTATGTCTTCTCCCAAATATTAATCTTCTGAATTCCTAATGATTCTTTTTTCTCTTTTTAAATTTATTTCAATGGATTATACTTCTCAAATTGTATCTTTGAAACCTAATCTTTTCTGTTACTTCTAATGTTTCGGCTACCTCTACTAGTATGAGATTTGAACTAACAATTTCATTTGTCTATGCTAATGTGATATGACAATTGGAACTGATGCATGTACGTACCAAGTTCTACATCGTTGCTGACTAACTAGCGACAGCTTTACCGCACATTTCCTCTATACATCATGGTTAGGTAGGAAACCTTTAATGATAATGGCTGCTTTCACAAGCTTGAGTACAAGTTGCGTACTCTGCTTGTTTATTATTTTAAATGTTTTTGTCTTGTTCATGAACCGTTAAATACCTAGTGATAGCAATTATGAACACAGTATCTATTTTTAAACATGGTTTTCGAGGAATATGTTGAAAATTCCACATAGAACCTCTTATTTCATTTTGTTCTACCACGAATAAACACATAAACACATTTGGAGGTGCAGCCAGAAAGGTATTGATCCACCTTTGATTGAATTAGGGAATATTCAGTGTTCTACGAATAAAATTCCTTGAGCTTTAGGAAAGCTATGGAGCATCACTTTCATCCTATTATCAATTCTATCCGAAATTTCATCTCCGTCTGAATACAAGTTAGATAAAGACATGTATTTTTTTTAATAACAGTTATTTGTTTGGAACTTTTCATAAACAGTTTTTCGTAGTCAGTCATAAATCTCTTCAGATATCTATTTATCATTTGAAATCATCAACCAATCATTGTTAGACCATCATCAGAAACCTGTAAGCACTGGACGGCCGTTTCGTCCTGGTATGGGACTCATCAATGGCAGTGCGCATCCACGACTACTACAGCTCGCAGGATTCGAACCTGAGACCTTCGGTTTTGTGCGCGAACGCCTAACCTCTAAATCAGATCTATTTATCATAAGATATATATTCCAATGTACTCCATACCTTCATCAATTTTACCAAACCCTGTTAGATTGGTATTTGAATGAATAGTTTACGTAACCAACAAGATAAATCTTTTTTTAATAGTTTAAGCGCTAATCGTTGATATCTTCTTTATTCTTCTAATAATATGTTGTTCTTGTTTGGTTCATTGTTTATGATGTTTTATGTTCAAGTCAAAATGGTTAAAGTGATCATTATATTCAAAGTTCAACTGTTAATTTTTCGTAACTTGATATATTTCTGTTACACTAGTAAAGTAATTTTAAAGCATAATTTATATTTCTCACAAGCAAAAAATGTATTGTTAACATGCATTCAGTTGAGCGTATATTTTTGACTCTGTATTGTTAGGTTCGTCATTAGGTATGTTTGAAACTATTACGGGTTCACCTTACTCGATAAACGAGAACGAGACAATGAACCAGCGTCAAGGTAGGCTACTCTGATCTGTTGACCCCAAACGGCTAACGAAAAGTCTTGATATACCGTAGAAAGTGTATTCTACAAACACCCAGCAAGCGCAAATAATTCAAGCACACAAATCGCGTTTATTTATTTATCATAGAAACGTCCTTGAAACATTCACAAAAATAGCACACTAAAATACACATCAGTCAATCACAGGCTAGGATTTTCGTAGTGGGAAATGAAATCTCAGGGTCAACTGATCAGCCCATCCTTGGAAACATAAAATCCAATCCAATCCAATATTATCAAGCAAGTTCCGGGGACTTAACACCCCAAACATACAGTCAAGTTTCTTTTATTCAAGGTTAACCATATGGATGTTGGACAATATCGACCTTAGTGATGATCCCATGGCCACTCCATCGATTTATTCGCATCATTGAATATTGAATTTAAATTAAAGACTCTTTTGATCTTGAAAAAAGTTCTTACGCAGTTGATTTTTATTTCAAGAGAGCACAAACACACTGCAACACACATGAAACAAAAAAATGAAGAAAAATATCTGATGACTATCTGTCAAGAAAAAACATCAACTAAAACCATCTACACAAGCGAAATCATGTACAAGAACAAATAAACAGATGATCCTGTCCTATGTAACAGACATCGGAAATCACGATCACAATAAAGGTGCAGACAACGACAGGATTAATGACACTGACAACCAATCAAGATTAAGGTCAACAGAACAAGCTACGAGTCATACGTGGAGAAATTCGAATTCTTCACTTCTTTTACCTGATGTTTGTGCTGTTGATGATTTTGTTCAGAAGAACAAATGAAAGCTTCGCAACCAAAGTATCTGGATCAGAGAACGAAACTCCACCTGAACTACAAATTTACTCCATCATCTTCATTAGCCTAGTCGAACTACATGTGACTGAAAAAACTATTTATAATAATATAATTAACTATAGTTTTAGGCCACTTGTAGTTGTGTTAGGATATTCACCAAATATCCTACGAAGAATCATTTTGTAAGTGTAAATTCTATTGGTCGATTCTTATTGGTCAATATTATGATCGTCCTAGCTATCAATTTCACGTACTTCAGTGCTGTTTCCTATTGGTTGACTTAAATTTCAATGTCACAGACTTCAAATGCTGTTTCCTATTCGGCCGAAATGTATAAATACGCATTATCTGTAACGATTTATGACGAGGGCCCGGAACCGTATCCTTAGTCCGTGATCCTCATCCTCTTCTTGACTCGGACATTTCTTTCTGGATGTTAGTAGAATACATGTTCTACTTCATATCAAGTCTTCTTCTTAGACTAAATGGGGGTTGGAACACTCAGATTAGAGTAGCATGTCGTGTCGCCGAGTCCTCGCTCTCGTTTTCCGACTAAGGTAAACTCGTAATAGTTCAAGCATATCAAATTGACATGTTTACGTGCATTCGTAACAAGTTGTTTGAAAGCCTTGAAAGTGGAATGAGTTAATGTTATTCCGTGTCTGTTTTTCTTTTTGTATTGTGTTTAAATTTAATAGAGTTATTGAGCAACAAGAAAAAATAATTAACCTGTCGGACGTGAATGTCGGTTAAAACCTTTTTGAAATAATTATACGATTCTAATTATACTACTGAGCAAAAATCACTGTAATACATATTTTAGAATCTGTTTTGTTTATTTAAACACATAAACAATGGTATCAGAAGGCACCTGGATATTTATGCGCTACATAAATTACTGAATTCACAAGCTGGTTGAGATGCTACAAGTACAATTTTTTTGAAAGCCACTCCACGAAACTTTGACACACAGGTTTAATCCAAAAGACAGTGGACCAATGCAGGAGATACAGTCTCATGGTAGCCGGTGACCGACAACATCATTTATTCTGTCAAGACTCGGCAGCCCATGTGCTTCATTGGTTCAGAATGAGGACTTTCCAACTCACCTAAATAGATACTTCATACCCGGCAAACCAGTTCAAGCTTTGGTCAGACGCTCTCTTATCATTCTTTTAATTTCATGAACAACACCTAGGTCATGCATGAGAAGGCAACAAACAGTATTTCCGTGATAGTGGTTGTATATTTATCGTTATGTAAAAGCATTTCGAGATACAGAGTGGACACTCTTCTCGCCAAACTTCAAAGGTGAACTTTCTCAAAAATCAGTATTAATTTTGCAAAATGAACTAAAATAAAATTTAATAAGGTCATTAGTTTTAGTTCAAACAAACCACACGTTCGATGATGAAATGTTACTCTTCTCATTCATCACTGTTCTACTTTTTCTCTCTTTTTTATTGATAGGAAAACTTCGGCTGAGTATCGAATATCAAAATTATTCAATCAAATTGCATGGTAAGTCATAGTTAGTTTTTCTGGGTTTTAATTGAGTTTTTTTTCTTCGATTGATCTCACTTGTTAGATAGTTTAGAAATGGTAAGACTGAAATTTAAGATTTGAGAATATTTTGCAATTTCATTATCGTCAGTAGTCCGTGCTGTTGAAATATAGTTTTAGCACAGTTCTGGACAAGTTATGAAGTTACCTTACTTATTATGTTGAGACTTTAATTTATGCTTACTAGTACAAAATTATTTGTCAACATTGTTGTAATATCTGTAACAGTGACATACTAAATTGTATATATCATTTTGTTCATGGACTGTTTGATTAAAAAAACGTCGATATATAAATAAGGCTCATTCTTACCAACTGATAAGTTACTTAATTACTTACTCCTGTTACCCCCAACGGTGCAAAAGCAGCCGATCATCATTATCCAATCTACTCTATCCTAGACCTTCCTTGCTAGTTCTATCCAATTATTCTTCATTCTTCACATGCCTTTTTCCATTTCTCAGCGTAATATGCTCTTTGGTTTACCTCGTTTCTTTTGGACTTGTGGATTTTAAGTGAGGGCTTTTCTTAAGACGCAGTTGGACGTTTTTCGCAATATGTGTCCTATTTACTTCCAGCCCTTTTCCCTGATTTCTTCTTCCACTGGTTTGGTTTGTTCTAGCCCATAGTAGAATGTTGCTGATAGTGTCTGGCCGACGGATCCGCAGTATTTCACGAAGACAGCTGTTAATATAAGCACTTATATCATGTGCATGATAACTTTCGTGGTTCTCCAAGCTTCCAATCCATACCACAGAACTGTCTTGATATTTTCATTGAAAATTTTAACTTCGGAGTCGGTTGACATTTGTTATGAGTTCCAGATGTTGTTCAGTTGTAGAAATACTGTTCTTGCTTCGCATCACATCCATCTTGTTCATCAACTGATAGGCTAAAAGCTCTTTTTTACGAGTTCATAACTATGTGAATACTGAACTTTGATGAAAACAGATTATTCAATCTCGTCATTGTCACAGAAGGCTTTATTTATTCAAGTAATAAGTAAAGAAGTAAATTTTTTGATAAATATGCTGTGAAAGGAACTCTTTTTAAGAAATCTATAGGTTGATCTAAAAATAGTCTTGAGAATCACACTTTGAATCTGAACACTAATGACTCACGATCATCTGATATTTTCAATACTATGATAAACAAATCACAAGATGTACAAATCCGACGATCAAGTTTAGCACGAGAAGAAGAAACTACACAGAACTACAATATAATCACTAACAATGTACAATTACTTTCATATATGATATTTGTAAGCCAAGCGAATAACTAACTCATTGTTTACTCAAACTTTTCGATACACAATATTCGATTGAAGACAGTCTATATTTCCTATCAATTAAAAATTTGTTTAATAATAACAGTCACTTCATTGGATGGTCAATCGAAAAACTGTGCCACTTTGTTGGGGACGTTAGATCCCCGGAACTCGCTCGATAAATGCCTTATTTTGAATTTCATGTTTGCGAGCATAGGATGATCGGTTGACCTTGAGCTTTCAGGAAAATCCTTGGCTCTGATTGGCTACTGTGTATTTTTTAGTGAGCTATATTTGTGACTGTCACAAGGACGTTTCTATGATGTATAAATAAATGCGATTTGTGTGCTTGAATCCATTGTATTTGCTGGGTGTTTGTAGAATATACTTTCAACGCTTATATCAAGACTTCTATTTAGCCGTTTTCGGATCAAGGTAGCCTACCTGGACAGTGGTTCATTGTCTCGTTCGCGTTTATCGACTAAGGTGAACCCGTAATAGTTTCAAGCATATCAAGTGACGAACCCAAAATACTTATTCGTTGACATTTGAACACTTCAAAAAATGTGGTTTGGATAAATTTAAAAAAAGTACTGATTGTTGATTAGAAATTTAACTATTAGTCACATACAGATACATCTATCAGGCTTTGAACTGAATATTAAACTATCCTAAAAATGATTAGTATGACACCGTCAATAATTTCGACTAACATAGCTAGCTGTCCAGGATTCTCTGTTTCATATGATGTTCTTCAAATTTTATCATTGATATAATGGAACATAATGGTCGTAGATTTCGTGAACAAACCTATATTGAAATCATCAATCAATCATTGTTAGACCACCATTAGAAACCTGCAAGCAGTGAGTGACGGCCATTTCGTCCTGGTATGTGACTCATCAGTGGCAGTGCGCATTCACGACGCCTGCACCTCGCAGGACTTGAACCCGGGACCTTTGGTCTTGTGCGCGAACGCCTAACCTCTGGAACACAGAGCCGTCATCTGACGGTGGTCTAACAATGATTGACTGATGATTTCAAATGTGTAAAAACACTAATCTCTATAACTCTGATTGAAAATACTTATATTGGTTGTGTGTGTATATTGTCCAATAATTAAAAATCCACTGTTTTTGTTCTGTATTCCAGTAATTGAAGCTAAAGGACTTCGTACTGTCAATAATCAAAATTGTAACTCTTTTGTAAAAGTAAGAGTCTTTTCTTTGATTCTTAGGTTGATAAATTAAATACTTGTGTGATAGATTTCTGAACGATTATTTTACTGGTTATAATGAATATTTCCTGTGTAATGCAAGAAGAAGTCAAGACTAGATGGAATTCAGGGGCTGCATTAAATTCGAGGCAATCCTCACCACTTTGGTAACCTGTGATCTAACTACTACTACTACTTCTTCAATTTCCAGATATCATGCTTGGGTGAATCCCGTTTTTGCGACGGCTTTAATAAGAAACCAAATCCGGACTCTGCTCGATGTGTTTATTTCACGCAATCATTCACGTGAGCAGACATGAGAATGAATAGTGTGCAAACAAAGCGAAGCGGAATGGAGAAGGCAAGTGAACTAACTCAGGCATGGCTAAGTATTTATAGTTAGACAGAATAAGCTAGACGTTTAAAAATCGAAGTCAGCAGCACATACGCACACAACCTAGTTTGTAATCGAACTATTGGTAAGGTCAAAAGACGTGTGAATAACTCGAAAAGGATGGATTAACCAGTTTGTCGAAAAGCTGGAACAGGCCTTGTGAGCTTGACACAGTTGCACATACACTGCACAGGTTTTTGACTGTCTTCTCTTACATTTTTTCTAGCTTTTAATCTAGTCTTTCTGCGGGATGCATTTCGATCTCCTTCCTCTGTGTGGTTTCAACTTCTAGGCGACGCTATGCTCCATACTACTTGTATGCCATTTGTGAGTAGTATCCATCACACATGCGCTGAGATTCAAATAAATGTAAGAGTTAAGACATCGTAAATAACCATCATTGTTCTGAAAAAAACCCTATCAAAACGATAAAGAAAACTAATCAATGAAATCAATAAGCTCAGTAATCAAAATCATTCCCATGTGAAACAAACTACGTTAAGCATAATTGTTAGAATGATCGATCCCTACTTCGAACTTATGCATTTTATAACTAGTCAGCTTGTGCGACTTGCTGATGTATTTTAATTCACTTTATCAAAAGACACTAAATATTCAATAAGTTTTCGAATGACTTGATTTAAATCTTAGTAGGGAATGAACTTTGATGCTAAGTAACCACACTTCAGTGCGGAATCGATGAAATATGTATATATATCAATATAGGTTTGTGAATATTTTCGAGTTTCATGTAAATCATGAACTTATCTATGATAGATCATCATTGGAAACTCCGAAACACTAGACTACTGTTTTGTCCTTGTATTAGAATTCAGAGCTATGAACTTTGGTCTCAAATCTAAGCCATCTGGCGCCTATGGCGACTGTAAATAGTTTATCAGGAAAACGCAGTTTCAAAATCATCTGTTCATTGTTTAACAGCTGCTTCATTAGAAAAAAATTTTTCTGCGCTTCTTCTGTTCACATAGTAATATCTGACTGTGTTATACAACTCATGTTTATATCAGTTTGTTGGGGAGTGGGGATTAGATCCCCAAAACTCACTAGGAAAGTGTCCTAATTTTGGATTTTTATGTTTTCACACATAAGTCGCTTAGTTGACCTTGAGATCAAATTTCCCACCCGGACAATTCTAGACTGTCATTGGTCGATGTCTTATTACATTACATTACATTCTCTACTCATTATCAAGACTTCTTGATATAACAGTTAGCAGGGCCGAGGACAATCAAATCAAAATAGCCTTTCCTATCGCTGGATCATATGTCTTCGCTCTCGTTTATACCGAGTCAGGTGAACTCGTCATATCATTCAAGTATATCAGTTGACGAGCATATCACATTTATCATCTTAATTTTATTACGCTCAATCAGTAGGAAACTACTTGTTTAGGTTTTTGTTAGTAAGTAAATATTTCTTCAATTTTGCATGAACTGATATTTTTCAGTTAAATTAGGTTTTGCATCAATTTCTTCCTTTTGTTCGTTAAATAGAATGAACAATGAATATGCAACACTGTTTGAAATGATGAATGACACTACCGTAGTTAACTTCCACTCAAACTTACATTGGAAATTATTGACTTTGTAAATAATATAGTCCCCATTACAATGTTAATTTGATATAGCTTTTATTATTATTATTATTATTATTATTATTATTATTATTATTATTCTAGATAAGTATCTCGCCAGAAAAAGGTGTTACATTTGAACAAACTACTGAAATATTTGAAAATTCCGCAGCACCATATTATAATAAAGAATTTTTATTAAATTTAAATAAAATAAAATATAGTAAAAGAATTCATCTTGCAATCTATGCTCAATCAACTAAAGATTTGGAATGGTAAGTTGATTGATAGTTTATATTTATTATTTAAGAATATTTTTATACTTCGAAATCGTAAATAAATCATTGTTTGATCAGCATTAGAAACCTGAAAGCACAGGACGGCAGTTTCGTCCCGGTATAGGACTCCTAAGTGGGAGTGCACATCCATGACTTCTGCTACTCGCAGGATTCGAACCCAGGACCTTCGATCTCAAGCTCGAACGCATAGCCTCTGGACCACTGAGCTGACATCCAACGTTGTTACTGTTCAACTTTGATCATTCTAATGATTTGGCGCAACCTCATCTATTGTTTTCAGTAGTTACTGTCTACACCCGATAAGGTTGAACTTCACTGATTTCGTTTTCTCAACCGAACTCTACGAACTTCCGCGCTTGAATGCGCACGTCTGACGAGTTACACACCAGGATGAAAAGGCCGTCCTACTCTTCCAAGTTTCTGATGGTCTTCTGAAAATGATTCATTAATATTTTCAATGTAAAACAACGATGAGAAATCCTTTTATACTTATTTCAGATTAGATAATTTACGAAATATTTACATACAGATTTAACTAAATTTGTTTAAATATCATTTTTAGATATTTAGACAACCATTCAATATGAAGATGGTTCGTTATAATTCTCGGACTTGAAACTTTTGAAGTCGTAAACTTGCTTACTTACGCCTGTTACCCCCAACGGAGCATAGGCTGCCAACCAGCATTCTTCAACCTACTCTATCCTGGACATCCCTTTCTAGTTCTTTACAATTTTTGTTCATGTCTGTCTCGATTTCTCGAAGTAATGTGTTCCTTGGCCTTTCTCTTTTCTTTTGACGTTAAGAGTTCCAAGTGAGGGTTTACCTTATGACGTAGTTGGGCGCTTTCCCTATTGTGTGGCCTCTCCACTTCCGATGCTTCTTCCTGATTTCTTCCTTAGCTGGAATCTGGTTTGTTCTCTCCCACAGTAGGTTTTTGCTGATGGCGTCGGGCTAAAGGATCCAAAGGATTTTACACAGACAACTGTTAGTAAATACTTGTATTTTCTGGATGATGGCTTTGGTAGTTCTCTAAGTTCCCACACCATACAGTAGATTTGTCTTGACTCTTGTACTAAAAATTCTGATTCTAGTGTGTTTTTTGGCAGTTGTTTTGAGTTCCAGATATTGTCGGATTCTGGAAATGCAGCTCTTGCCTTGCCGATCCATGCCTTTACATCTACCTCATATCCACCTCTCTTGTCAACGATGCTGCCCAGATATGTAAATGTGTCAACTTCCTCCAAGGCATCTCCATCAAGAGTGATTTGGTTGGTGCATGTTGTGTTGCATCGGAGAATTTTGCTTTTTCCTTTATGTATGTTGAGACCTACTGCTGCAGAGGCTGCTGCTACGCTGGTCGTCTTCTCTTGCATTTGTTGTTGCTTGTTGGATACAAGAGCCAGATCATCTGCTGTCGGTTGTCGTCTGCTTTTTCAAACAGTTGAAATTCATTAGTAAAAAAATGATGCAACGTAATCAAATTAAGGGAAATGAACAATTTTGATTCGATTTTATTGTGCAAATTATTTTGCTAAGAATCAATTCCATATTGGAATACATGTATAAGTTTTTTTAAAAACCAATGAAATTTTTGTCCCGTTTATTAGTTCTTATAATCAAAGTTCATTATATTAACTGGAACACTGAATTTTCAAAAGAAAAAAATACCTAATTTCTTTGACCTTTTTTAATGAACAATTAAAGTACACAAAACACTAGTAGTTGCTTCAAATGAATAGCAAAAAGCATTAGGAAACTTTGTGGATAATAGTATTATTGCATTAAAATTTTTATCATAAAAATTAGAATTTTCTTCTATAACCTAATCTGCAGGTTTAAAGATATATATATATATATATGTTAGGATCGTCACTAGGTATGCTTAAAACTATTACGGGTTCATCTTAGTCGATAAACGCGAACGAGACAATGAACCAGCGTCCAGGTAGGCTACCCTGATCTGCTGACTAATGAAAAGTTTTGATGTAGCGTAGAAAGTATATTCTACAAACACCCAGCAAGCACAATGCAATCAAGCACACAAATCGCATTTATTTATACATCATAGAAACGTCCTTAAGAGAGTCACAAAAATAGCACACTAAAAAATACACAGCAGCTAATCACAGCCAAGGATTTTCCTGGTGAGAAATGCGATCTCAGGGTCAACTGATCAGCCCATGATCGTAAATGTGATGTTCAAAATTAAAGCATTTATCAAACAAGTTCTGGGGATCTAACGTCCCCAACAATATATATATATATATATATATATATATATATATATATATATATATATATATATATATATATATATATATATATATATATATATATATGAAACACAACTATTTTAGAAAACCATAAGGAGAGACGGACAGTGGCTATCAGAAGAAGCCAGGATGCGCCTTTTTTCGTATTCGTGATTTGTCTTTCATTGGATGCACCTGCATCCCAGACTTGACATTCACTCAAAGACTCGAACACAGTACCGTTCGTTTTAAATGCCATCGCTTTGTCTACTTAGCTGTGGAGTCTTAATAGTCATTGGCTTACGAAATGAAGTGAAACTTAATTCATCTACACTGGTAGTTTGAATCTTCACGTTGACATTTAAGACTGTGATTGATCGGTTTTATGAATGAGTTATGTCAAACTTCCTATTTATTAGTAAAGTGACAATGTCTCTATACCCTTTAAAGATAACTTACACCACAAACTAATGTCAACTAATGAAAACCAAGTAGAGCACTATTATCAGACTAGTCAGCAATAAACATTTATAATCCAATAATTTCTCTAAATTCAGTAGTTCTAAGTCTCCTGGCAACTATCCTATACTTTACCTAATAAATCAAGGTCAAAATGTTTACATGATAAATCTGTGATCAGTTTAGGCGATAAAAAAACTATCATCTATTTTTCTCAGGGAATAATTGATTAGCTGAAGACATGATTAACCCCGAAGGTCATAACATTTCTCTACTGATCACTTATAAAAACAAACAAATGTTCTCATTTGAAATTCAAACAGAAACAATTTTTTGAAGGCTTTTCAGTGCGAAATTTAACATGTTCAAAAAAATTCCAATGATATAATCATGTCATTGAAAAATTCCATGCACTAATTAACTGATTTTAAAAATTCAAACCGAGTTAAGTTAAAATCAAACAAAAGTACATCAATATACTAAGCCAGAATAATTCATTAATGCTAGTTTGCATAAACTGTTTGTTGGGGACGTAAGATCCTCTGAACTCACTTGATAAAGGTCCTCATTTCGGATTTTATGTTTTCGAGCATGGGCTGATCAGTTTAATTTGAAATTGCATTTTCCACTCGTAAAATCCTTGGCTGTCATTGGTTGATGTGTTATTTTAGTACGCTACTTTTGTGGCTCTCCAGAGGACGTTTCTATCATGTATAAATAAAATCGATTTGTGTGCTTGTCAAACTCATATTTTCTGTGTGCTTGTAGAATACACTTTCTACACCATATCAACACTTCTTCCCCTACTTAGTGGGAGGCATTGGGACACTAGGATTAGAGTAGCCTATCGTGTCACCGGATCATTTATCTTCGCTCTCGTTTACCGACTAAGGTGAACTCGCAATAGCATTCAAGCATATCAATTGACGAGTATAACATTATTTGTACAAAATATAAAACCTAGTAGCTTTAATAAAATATTCACTAAAAATAGTTTGCATCTAATCTGATATATATCTATATATTTTTCTTATTGTGTAATTTTATTTCAAGTGAATTTCTTGGTGGAATGTCGTTTGGAATTCCTAGTATTCAGAATAAAAAACATGTAAGTCAATTAAGAAGTTTAAGGGATTAAAAAAAGAAATGTGAAAACATTTCCCTATTTTTAATGTCAAGTTATTTTTTTTGTGTGTACTGTTTGTTGTGTTTGGTATGAATATGTCTATATAATTTTTTTTCTCTAAATAAACTACTACAATATCACTTCATAATTTCATTTTTTGACTTACCGGCACATTGATTATTTGTATTATTCTATCAGTACATATTATCGATTGATTGTGAAAACATTGCTGTTAAAATTTGATTTATGAACGCTTGTTATTTACTGTAGAATAGATTGCATTTTCTTGTTATGTGTAACCAATGAGTATTATGGTTATTAACAGAGGGAAATAGTGGCTAACAGTGCGTTACGTCCTGATTGGGACTTGTTTTTAGATGGATGTATCTGCCTCCCAGAGTTGATGGTGACACTGAGACTCGGACGTAGTATCATTGGTTTCAAACATCATCTCTTTTTTTCCACTTAGCTATTTGAGTACAGATAGTCATTCGTTTGTGCAAATGTTTCATTAGAGTAATTTTATTGTGAACATGATTCACTATGAGAGTGTATCCCTATTTACTGATAACGTGTCTATACTTCATAAACTAAGAACAACTCTTTCAGTTTAATCATATTTTTCAAGTATTTTTCACGATCAAGTTGTTAGGATTCGTCATGTTTCATTTACTGAAATACAGGAACTATTAAATTTGGTTTTTGTGCACAAATTTTCCATTACAAAGTTATAGAGGTTTCTGTTTTTCATCGAAAATCCTTAACCAATCATTATTAGACCAACATTAGAAATATGGAGGCATTGGACGGCTGTTTCACCCTGGTATTGGACTCTTCAACAGGACGCAACCACGACTCCTGCACACGGTAGTTGATACCAGGAATTTCGGTCTCACTGGCTGAGTAGTCTAGAGGTTAAGCACTTTCGCTCAAGACTGACAGTCTTAGATTCGATTCCCACGTGCGAAGGTCGTGAATGCGTACTGCCGAAGAGTCTGATGCAGGGAAAAACTGTTGTTCAGTACCTGTATGTTTCTGATGGTGGTCTAATAATAATTGTTTAACGAATTCATAGCAGAAATTATTATTGATTAGACAGCAATCTAGTAAAATGACATACTGAATAATTAATTAACTTTATTAAATTGTCAAGATTTTGACTTCTTTAAAGTGGCATTACAAAATGATCTTAAATTCAATTCCGGAAAAAAATATCTTTAAAATTACTTAAAACTTGACAAATTAATTGAATAGATTATTGCAGAGTCACTGAAAAATTTAACTGATTTGGAAATGTAACTGATCAAAGATTAAATAAAAAAAACCAGTGAAGCCGGAAAGTACAGTATTCTAGTTTTAAATTCATCAACAATTCATACACACAAACATAATAAGTTGCGATTTGTGAAAATAGAGAGCTGAAAACAAACATCATATAGACAAATTATTTACTTACTTACGCCTGTTACCCCCAATGAAGTATAGGCCACCGACCAGCATTATACAACCTACTATGTCCTGGTCCTCCCTCTCCAGTTCTGCCCAATTTTTGTTCATCTTTCTTATATCTGTCTCGACGTAATGTGTTCCTTCGCCTTCCTCTTTTCCTTTGTCTGTGAGGGTTACAAAGAATAGTTGCTCTGGTTGTCAGAAGGTGCATCGGCCTCGTCACTGCCGAAGGAACTCCGCTTTCATCATGAGACGCTATAACTCTTCTGAATGAAGATTTTCTGATTCTCAGGGCAGAGTTTAAATGGTTTGAATTGATTTTTCTGCTTAGCGTTTTTTTAGCCAGTTAGTTTTCTACGGGATGAGGTCGCCAACTCCATTAAGTTGTAATCTCATAATAGTCATGTACTTTTACATGCAAGTACATCGAGCTGACAAATGCGAACTAGGGCGAAACGTGCACCCTGAATTCCATTATTAACAGGCAACTATTTTAGTATCCATTGGTTATTTTAAGCTCTAGTTTCAGATAAACATGTAATATGGTATAACTACAATTCTATCACATCAGTGATAGGATACGTGACAGACTTTATTTAAATAAAGTAAATAACTTTCATTGAATTCACTGGTTAGCGTCTTTCTAGTGAGTTAGTTTTCTGCAGGATGTGGTCTCTAGCTCTTTGCTCGACCCTCCTCCTTTACCCTGGTCTCGCACCAGTAGTAACCTTAGAAGACGGTGGACTTATTGCATTCACTACATATTATTTAATCAAATCCTATAAACAACTGTAGTTTAGTCTTGATGAACATTATTTCTGTAATCGCCGTTTCCAGTTAATAGTTGATATTCTAGCCAACTGAAATGCTTGAAGCTATCATGAGGTAATATTACTCGGAGTTAGACATTAACAATGTTGGATGCCAGCTCAGTGGTTTGGAGGTTAACCTTTCGCAAGCAAGACCAAAGGTATTCGGGTTCGATTCCCACCCGCTGAGGCTGTGGATACGCATCGCTGTTCAGTACGTCCAGGTTCCTAATGAAGGTCTAACACTGGTAGATTCATAACTTGATTGAAACTGATAAGTTCGTCACTTAGTATGCTTGAGGCTATTACGAGTTTACCTTAGTCGATAAACGGGAACGAGACTTTTACCAGCGTCCAAGTAGGCTACCTTGAATACCCAAAGTCGAAATAAAAGGCTTTATAAGCGTAGAAAGTATATTCTACAAACACCCAGCAATCACAGTACAATCAAGCATACAACTCTCGTTTATTTTTACAACATAGGAACGTCCTTGAGACAGTTAAGAAAATAGCACACTAAAATACACTGCAGCCAATCACAGCCATGGATTTTCTTGGTGGGAATTGAAATCTCAAGGTCATCTGATCAGCCCATGCTGGCAAACGTGAAAACCAAAATAAGGCATTATCAAGCGAGTTTTGGGGACCTAACATCCTCAACATAAACTCAACAACCTCTACAACCCTATAGTCAAATCATCATACAAGTTGAACTACATTTATTCATTCTCTCTGTATCCGAACATTCATGTTGAAATATTGATTTTATTTTCTTCTGCTTTCTGCCTTTTTAATTCATCTTTAGATTTCTGGTTGGTATTATTTATTAGATGAAAAAATGTATAGAAAAAAACATTTGAAAACTGCTTTAGATCCTATGACTAATATAGAAAGTAGTTTATGCACAACCAATGAATTCATTGTAACAGATAGATTGAAACCGACATCTTTCAATGAATTGGTGACATCTAGCACAACACCTCCAACAACAACAACAACAACAAATCACCAACTCCCTAGCCATCAAACAGTACTGATGATTAATGAACATGTTCCTCCTAATACAAGTACGAATGTAATGCATCCTAATGTAAATTGTAGTAATATTGAAAATAATAATAATAATAGTAATAATAATAATAATAGTAATCATAATCATCACAATATGAATGAATATTCTTCGAAAGAATTCAGTCCAATATTAACACCTGCTAATTTAATGATTTATTCGCAACAGTTACCATCAAACACCATGTTATCTTATCCAATGATTAATTCCCCAGTGATTAATTCCTATTTACCTGGACAATTATCATCACCAATTCCACCGACACCCGTAAATAATATGTCAACAATGAATACTAATAAAGCTTTAAGTAATATGAGAATATTTCAAGTAAGTTGAAAAAAAATGTGATATAGTGTTCTGCTTATTGATTTTTTGTAAGTGTTGTGGAAAGTTGTTGATTAATTGTTGTGACGTATGTGCTGTACAAACTGAAGCAGTTGTTTTTCTTGGGGCAGTCATACACCGAGATTTTGATATACAGGTGTAATCCACAAGGTAGTGAGTGAGTGAATCAACGATGAAGATGTTGTTCCATGGTAGCTGATGACCAGTAACAGGTGTATACGTGACTTGTACCCTTAGGATTTTGGAGCCTTTGTGTAACTTTGGGTCTTCTGAATCCACCGACCGGGTTAAAGCCGCAACCGGACATTCGCTTTTCATCCTTTTAATTTCGTAAACAACACACTGGTTATGAAAAGGCAGTGAATAGGACCTTCCTTCCGGTGGCTCTATGTGAGTGGGTATGTGAGGGCATTTTAAAAGGGAGAGAGGAATCTCCCCATTATAGGCCGTACCAGCGAATTCGGGTGTTAATATATATGCCTTGGTTACGAGTGACGATTACAACAAATCCTTGATCAAGTACAGCTTTTTATCAACTGTCTCTAATTACATGACATAAACCATATAGTGCTGAATCGCTTAGAGATCGTTAGCCATATCGAAGAGCTTCTATCATGCACTTATTTAGTATCTTCAACTTTGAAATATTTAAACTAAAGTTTTTTCAATCACATTATGAACTATTACGGTTTTAAATTCTCATTAAGCCCAACACCGGAGAGAATATCGGATTATTGTTTGAAATGATGAACACTGGATTCTAATTTAAGTACGAATATCAACATAAATGTCCATTCACATCTAAGTGAGGAGTCCTGAATAGAACGAAACAAGCTTTCTGGACTTCATCACTGACCAAATACGCTAAAAGCTGATGACTTCTAATCAACTAATATTTCAAATATGAAAGTTTTTAGCGATCACAAGTCACTATGTTGATGGCATGTTTATTTATAACTTTCGAGTTGATGTCGGGAGATGAAATTGAAATTTCACTATAAACACAATGATGACTAAATCATACTCTAAAATTATAAATTATTTCAGAAATCGTTCAGAAATCCATGATGAATTACTATTCCTATCCAGTATTAGGTTATTTTTCAAGAATTTTAACAATGTGCTCACTAGTGACTAGCTTCATGGAGAAATTCTCGGAGTTCTAGTGAGAAGACGTGACTGGTGAAGTCTAACCTTGTCGAATGTAGGCATTAACTACCGAAGACAAATTGGTGAGGTTGCGCAAAACCTCTAGATTGATTAGAGTTAGACATTAACACCATACAATCCCGGTCCAGTGGTTCAGTAGTCAAGCGTTCGAGTGGAAGACCAAAGGCCCTCGGTTCGAATCCTACTCGTAGCAGCAAGTGTGGATGTGCCCTGCTGATAAGTCGCATACTATTGGATGAAATGGCCATTCAGTGCTTCTTAGTTTTTAATGGTCGCCTAACAATGATTGATTCATAATTCAGTAATAAACATGAAAGTTAGCAAATGTTCATGATTTATTTCCTTGGATAGAAATTTGTTGTAAATAGATTGAAAGAAATTATGTAAACAGGGAAGAAAACAAAGCAAAAAGCATCTATAAATCATTCAACCTTATTTTGTTTACATAAAGTACAAGCCTCATTTTTTTTCATTGATAATTGTTATTATCACTTAAGTAAATCAATAAGTAGTATAGATTTGAAAAGAAAAAATTTATCATTTACATACATAAATGATGTAAAAAAAGGAAATCTTCAAATAGACAACTGCTGTGATAACTTAAATAAAAACCAATCTATATTAAGTTTACTAAGATTATTGTTAGTTTAAGATTTTGAATGATTGAAACGGAAAAATAATCAATAAATATATTCTATTTTTTGTCCATCAATTTGAACTGTGAACAACATTTCACATTTAAAAATAACATTTGTTTATTATAAAGGACTGAAAATCAGGATTCTAGTAAAAAAAATGACAACTGATCATGTGATTCCTGTTGCTGACAGACCCGAAATATCCCTTGGTAAAGTTTAAAGACGTTGAAAAATTCCAGAAACCATCTTATTTATTCAGAATAGAATAGAACCTTCGCAGAATAATTTGGAAAAAGTAGAACTACATGTCACAATGTTGACTGGATATTTAGCCATGTTACTTCTACGCTCAGTATGGTTTTTGAACATTTCAGAAGCTCAAAGTCATGAGTAACTTCGTAAATACCCTCATTTTTCTGTAATATAAACAATCCATGGAGTAAAGTGTTCTTCTCGTGCTTCGCGTATTTTTAATTATGTTCAGATTACAGTGTATATTTAGTCTGGACTTTATTAGAAACGGATAAAAAATCAACTCTTGCGTTCGTTTAACAGACTTATCAGTTTCAAAATGGCGGGAATTATTCTCAAAAATTTAAGAAATAAGAGAGATGATTAGAGAAAAAACACGTAATACCATTTGAAAAACTAATAATGATAAAATACCACAATAGAATTCTATTTGTCAGTCGAATATCGTCTTCATTTTCATAGAGCAATAGACCATTTGCTCAGAACAAAATGATGATAACAATACAATTCAATTTCAAATGGTATGAATTATCTCGTTGTTGATATTTTGATTGAAATTTAATCGCGGATATTCAAATGACTCTAATGCAATAGTTAGAACAAATCCTTCATCAAGTGCAGCTTTTTATCAACTATATCTAAATACGTGATATAAAGTATATGGTGTCGAACCTCTTGTAGATTACTAGCTTCTTGAGGAAATTCTAGGAGTTCTGGTGAGAAGACGTGACAAGTGCATTTCAACCCTGTGGGACGCCGCCCCAGTGGTCCAGAGGTTGGGCGTCCGTACGTTAGACCGAAAGCCTTGGGTTCGAATTCTGTGAGAGGCAGTAATCGTGGATGCGCCCTGCTGATGAGTCCCACACCTGGACGAAACGGTAGTCCAGTGCTTCCAGGTTTCTAATGTTGGTCTAACAAGGATTGATTGATAACTTCAATGTGTAATGTAATCTATTTTACTGATCATTGTTATATTCCATTCTATTTTGATTTTCATGTTTTTTTCTCCTTAATCTTCAGTTTCTTATTCAAAAAGGTTCTAAAGGTTATGGATTCACTTTGTGTGGTAATTGTCCAGTTTATGTTAGCCATGTGGAACCCGGTTCCCCGGCAATGCAATGTGGAATACAAGCTGGTGATTTTATTGTCGCCATTGATAATATAAATGTATCACGATCTACAAGTAACAGTGTTGTCCGAATGTTCAGGTGAGTACAGTTTTTTTTCAAAGAAAGAAAAACAAATTTATTTTAAATGTTTGTATGCAATCTGTGTTGCGAACTACTGTGAATAGCTCTGAAATCATAATTCATGACTGTTCTGTCGAAGATAATTTCTGATGTTTCAATTAGAATTATGAAAATGAGTGTTTTTTGCACACTGAAATCATCAGTCAATCATTGCTAGACCATAATTTGAAACCGAGAAGCTGTGGACGGCCAATTCGAACAATAGTATGGAGCTTATTGGCAGCGCTCATTCACGACTCCTGCACCTCGTAGGATTCAAATACAGGACCTTTGGTCTTGCGCGCGACCACCTAAACTCTCGACCTTTGGACAGGGATCCAGCGGTATTATTGTCTAACTCTGATCAATTTGGGAATTTTTTGAGATCTGACTAATTTGTCTTTGGCAGTTAATGTCTACATCCAACAGGAATGAACTCCAGTAGTCACGTCTTCTCACTAGAACTCTGAGAATTTCCTCACGAAACTAATCACTAGTGAGTCGAAACATTTATATTGATAACGAGTTCAATCACTATAAAAAATAACGATTTTACAACTTCAGTTATTTTAAATAAGATTAAACTATATGGTCAAATTATTTATATTTGTGAATGATTAAAACTAAATTTAATTAGATAATTCCTAAAGTGTTTGTATAAATCCAATCTATAAAAAGTAATAAAGTTACTTTGGATATTATTTGGTTTTTCAATACAGAATTATGGAAATTATTGTGTTTCATTGTTAGACCACACCATTAGAAACCTGGAAACATTGAAAGACCGTTTCATTCTGCTTCAGGACTTATCAGCAGTGCGTATCTAGAACCGAACCCAGGACCTTCGGCCTCGCGTCAGAACACTTATCTTATCGGCCACTGAGTCGGCATCAAACGATGTTAATATCTAACTTTAATTAATCTTAGGTATTGTGCAACTCCACCAATAGTCTTTGGTAGGTTAATGCCTACAACAACACCCTCATAGTCAGAACAAAATAGGAAGACCAAAGAACACATTATGCCGAGAAATAGAGACAAACATGAGAAGAATAAACACTAATTAGGTAGAACTTGCGAGGAAGGCTCAGGATAGAGTAGATTAGAGAATGCTGGTTGGCGGTCTATACTCCACTAGGGGTGGCAGGTGTAAGTAAGTAAGTAAATAGCCATTTCTGATTGAAATGTTGACTAAAACAAACTGTATTGAACTCACCGTGAAAATATACTACATTGATATGCATTGATTTTTTCTCTTTCTGAATTTCATTACCAAATTAGAATGTTTCAACATCCTGTTCACATTACTATATCACGTCCTATTCTCATAAAATCCAATCTATCCACTTCAAATAATACACATTCAATGCATAATAAATCCCTAGGTAATTTAATTCAGAAAACTTGTTTTTCATCATTAAAAAAATCCTCGAAAGAATTCACTAAACTATTTCAGCCAACAAATATGTGCAAATTGAATGATACGGAAGATTTTCCAACTTATTCAAATGATCAACCTACACATCATGATCATTCTGTATTAGTGCCAACTTCATCATTGATTAGCAATTCATTGTCAACATTTTCATTTATTGATCATTCAACAAACAATTGTTTAAATTCATCAAATCTATTGCCAAATTTCAATGCGCCAATTTGTTCATCACTCAATTATTATTACTATCATCATCATCATCACCATCATCCAATACCGAAATTTCACATACCACAATCAATTTCTGTTGATCAAACAATGAATCAACGATTTGAGAGTCAATATTTAGATAATTTACAAAATAATTTACAATTGACTAGTATTCTCGCTTATAATCAATATCAACCTTATCATGCTCAACCACCACAACCACCACAACAATAGCAACAACCTCCACCAATGAATAATGCAACATGTCAAGAAAATTGTACAAAGTTTAATTAAAGTAAGTTTTTTTTAATTGCATATGCACACGATAATGATGTGTTTTTTTCATTCAATTTCTTTGAATAATCAATTTCTTGGTTACTTCTACTGGTCCCGAACGTAGCTGCTACCTTGACGTGGTGGTCGGGCTTGCCTATCGTGATGACCCAACCGAGCTATACTGGCTGGAACATATGTTCCTCAAGGTTCTAGCATGCCAGACAGGTCGATTGGAGAACGATGAGACTAAAAGCAGCTACCCAAGGTCTGAGGGCGAAGTCGTACTGCTGACTGCAGAGGGGTGTGACAGCAGTAAGGTGTTTCCCTCGGACAACCATCATCTGCAGCGATGCTGCCTTCTCACAAGGAAGGAAGGGTTAGAAAAGGTCGGCCCTAAAAATGTCACACCTCCCCTAACTCACGGATTTCCGTCTCCTTGGGTAAGGGTGCCCACTAAGGGCCTTTAAGAACGGAGCTAATACTCAAAAAACGTTTCATAAAAAGGCCGCGCGTGACCGGCCTCAAGCAGTTGTCCCTTGGACTCTGCGGTCACGCACCAACACTAATCTATCTTCCTTTTCAGGTTCCTCAAGAAACAACCTTCCACGGTGTGGGCAGCCGGGAAGTGACAACCGCCCTCATACCCATAACAGCACGCGAGACCGAATTGGTCAAAATCAAATCCTTCCTACACCCCCTAGTACCTCTCTTATCTCCACGACTAACTCTTCTCACATTCATTCATCACAGTGCACAGCTAATGCAGACGATACGAGCTCGCAAAACGGCGTTCCTGGTCTCCTTAAACCTCGCTCTAGACTACATGTTGGAGCATTCAATGTACGGACATTGTGTCAAATAGGGCAACAGGCTTCCTTAGCTAGGACTTTAGAATCTCGTGCCATCGATGTATGCTGCGTCTCGGAAACGCGCATACAGGATCCGAGTCACGTCATAAGCTTGACCACATCATGTCAAAATAAAGAAGCAGCTCGATTTACTCTTCGTGTATCCGGTAGCCCTGATGCTGCTTCCCGGGGTCTTGCTGGCGTAGGCATAGCATTGAGTCGTAGGGCAGAATTATCTCTCCTTGATTGGATCCCAATAGATAGTCGATTGTGCGCTGTCCGACTAAACGGGACAGTAAGGACTCGGAAAGATAGGGACAATCGCCGTTGCCTCTTCGTCATATCTTCCTATGCCCCCACTGAATGCAGTTCAGACGAGGTTAAAGATAAGTTTTACAGAAAGCTTTCGGACCTCCTCCAAAAAGCTAGGCGCTCTGATATAGTAATGATGGCTGGTGACTTTAATGCTCAAGTAGGTAGACTAAGTGAGCAGGAAAGACACCTAGGTGGATGTTATGGTGTCCCGGCTCAGAGAACAGACAATGGTGACCGTCTGTTGCAAGCATGCTCAGACAACCGCCTATTCTTAGCAAACACTAACTTTAGGCATAAGGAAAAGCATCTGTTGACCTGGCGACCTCCAAAGTCGTCTCAACGTTGGACTCAACTAGATCACATCGCCATCAGCCACCGATGGAGGGGTTCGATAGAGGACTGTCGCTCGTTCTGGAGCACATGACTAGATTCATATCATGCCCTAGTGCGAGCGCGTATTTGTTTGAAGCTTACTGGGCGTAGGAAAGACACCGTAAGAAAGCCTCTTAGGGTTTTACTTAATGATAATAAGGCGAAAAATACATTTCAGGAACAACTAGAAAGACAGTTAGGCGACCATTTAAGCGATTCCCATCCGGAAGCAGGATGGAATAATATCAAAAAGGCTGTGGAAACAGCAGTGATATCTGCTAGTAAGGTTGACCATAAGGCTAGAATGAAACCGTGGATCTCAGTAGCATCCACCGATCTGATGGATGCCCGAAAACTCACCCCACCTGGCTCTGAACATGATGCGGCAACAGTAGACAACTTTTCCGACTTATCAAGGAAACTGGTACTAGGAATCCTAGTGTAAGTGAGACTATCTCAGAAAATGACGGGACTATTATTTATTCTCAATCCAGGAGACTGGATCGATGGGCAGAACACTTTAGGGATCAGTTCAACTGGCCTCGAGCCACTCTTCGGTTACCCACGATCTCCAGTCATCCTGCATGGCAAATCGACGTAAGTCCGCCTAGTCTTAATGAAGTTGAAAAAGCGTTAGGAAATCTGAAGCGAGGACGAGCTACAGGTCCTGATAGACTGACCCCTGAGATATTTAAGGATGGTGGTCCAGTTTTAGCAGCTAGGTTGACTGAGATCTTAGGTAGAATCTGGGAAGTGGACGTAATCCCATCCGACTGGTCTCAATCACTGATTGTCCCAATCTATAAGAAAGGACAAAAGTCTTCTTGTGACAATCACAGAGGAATAAATCTAACTAATATAGTATCTAAAATATCGGCCTCAATAATATTTCGACGCTTAACGAAAGCTCGTGAAGAGCAAACTCGAGAAAACTAATCTGGTTTTCGACCTGGACGTGGTTGTATAGACCACATTTTCACACTACGACTGGTCCTGGAACACAGACACACATTTAGGCGTCCTACAATAGTTGTTTTCCTAGACCTTAAGGCGGCATTTGACTCAGTGGATCGTGAGGTTCTGTGGCAGTGTCTGTCATTGAAAGGTGTACCAAATAAGTACATTAACCTCATACAAGCTCTCTACTCAAACACCACTGGTCGAGTGAGAGCTTATGGCGAACTGTCACCGGAATTCTCTACTTCAAGTGGTGTCCGTCAGGGATGTCCACTTTCTCCATTCTTGTTTAATTTTATCATAGACATGCTCCTAGAACTAACCTTATCGTCGTCTGAATTTTCTGGTGTAGACCTTTTACCGGGTGGCTCGCTTTGTTTTGTAGTGTAGGAATAGGTTGGAAGAAAGCTAGGGGCGGCCAGACCAAAACATGGCATAAATTCATGAAGTCATTGACGAGTGGACTTAGCCATGTTGGTAATTGTCGACTACCTTGTTGGGGTCCGCGAGATGATAATAATCGATGGTTAGACACCTTGAATGACATGGCTCAAAACCGTTCGCAATGGCGCCAGTGCATTTATTCTTTGTGTTCTCTCAAATCCTAATCTTCTGGGTTCTTCAACACCTCTAGTTTTTACTTTCTAAACTTATCTCATTGAATCACACTTCGTGAATAATATCTTCTAATTCTAACCCTTCCGATTATTTCTAATACCTTACTACCTCTTCTACTATTGGATCTGAATTGACAATTATATCTTTGTGCTGATGTGGTATGGCGACATGAACTGATGTACTTACGTACGAAGTTCTACGTTGCAACTGACTGACTGACTTCTACTGGTGATCTAACCACGAATCAATTCATGAGTTCAATGAAACTCGGCAATTTCAACAACCTTATACTGAAAACTGTCATGTGTTTCTTGGTGACTCGCTTCGTGAGGAAATTATCGGAGTGATAATATGAAACCATAACCAGTGGAGTTCAGCCATGTCGGATGGGAAACATTTACCTACCACAGACAATCAGTGATGTTGCACAATATCGTGAATCGATTGAAGTTAGACATTAACGCCGTTGGATGTCGACTCACTGATCAAGAGGTTAGACATTCGCGTAAGATACTGAAGTTCCTGGGTTTGATTTCTATGTTTGGAGGTCGTCCATGTGCACTGCCACTGATGAGCCCCATATTAGGACGAAATGGCCGTCCAGTATTAATAAGCTTTCTCAATAATTTCCATAACTTTTAAACGAAAATAATCAGTTTGTTTATTTCTTAAAAGTATTACCATCGTTTGCTTGCTTTATTGATTGAATTGAATAAAATGTGTTTGCTGATGTGAAACTTTATTATATTTACCATTTCACAAGTCAACTGATTATTTTTCCAAAGTACGGATGAATGAATTCTTATTTTCATTACAAATCATTCTCTGTAAATTGAATGATAGCATCTTTAGTTCTGAAATCATATAATCCGATTGAAATCCCATAGGTAGCATCAGTCCCAGCAGAATTCAAAATTATGTATTGCTTAAGTGATGTTAACTAATTGAAACACCTAAGTTTAAATCTCTCTATAGATTAGTTCTAAATACACTGAACATTTTTGATGAGTTCATTATTAATCTAACATCTAAGTGAATGGATATCATCCTAAACTTATAATCTGAAAGTTGGAAAATAACCAGGATCAGAAGTTAATATTTACAAACTCATTGATTTAGAAAATCCATTTATTGTTACTTTAGAATAAATTGATTTGAATTTGATGTGCAGTCTTGAATCCGTTCGATTGAAGTAACCAATATATAGTTGGAGATGTTGGATTACATAGTTCAGACCTTATGGCAATGACTGAGGTCTACAGTTTTCGAATTTGTAGTGTGCCGATTTACTGCATGTTCTTAAGCTCGGTAATTAGCTCGTCCAGACAATCGTTACGAACTAACGTCTGACGGTTTATAAATCAGAAGGTGAACACACAAAGTGTTGAATACGTTTATTTTTTTTGACACACCACAAAGCGAAGCGGAGAAGCAGCGCATAAGACGAATAAAGCGACGTGAATTGGAGAAGACTGTTGAGCCAACTCATTGGATTACAATGCGAACGAATGGGCGAAGGAAGCGGACGAATAGGCGAAGCGCGTTGGAGAAGGCTAATGAGCCAACTCCAAGAAATAGAGCATGACGAAGAATATATATTCAAACAAAAATATGACAGACATGTGACAAGCGAAATAGGCACACATGGAAAAAAACGACGAATAGTTGACAAGGTCAAATGACAAGTGGAACACGTCATGTGAGCTCATACAAATCAGACAATAATAAGAACGAATGGTACATATAAATTGTTGCTATACCAATTGGCTTGGTTAAATAAATTAATCGAAAGGGCTTAACCAAATTAAATGTAAGCGAACTCGTATATACGTGGAGGCACTACAAATTATTCGGCCAATATATTTTTTCTTCTTGAATCCAGCTGTTCATGACAAGCCTTATGCACTACCATTGATAATGTTATTACTTTTCTCACTCGAACATGTGGTTTGACAATTTCATCTCACTGTTCGGATACAGTGGGACAACTTCAACCGACTGATGTGCAGATGTGTTAAGCTCTACGTTACTTGTGGTTATCTAACTGATAACGAGAACACAATGAACTGCTTTCACATCGATTATGACAGGTCTTTAGCTTTGTGATAACGAAATGAACTCAATTCTCACACTAATCATCACCAAAAATGTCATGTACATAAAAAAACTTACACTTTTGTCTTGAACTATCTACAAATAGACATGATAAATAGAAATTAACGTAATTTGAAACGGTAAAACGGAGGGATTCTCAATACTATGTGATTATTGTTACAGATCGCTCAAAAATTACAAAACCACTAAAGAAACATCATAGTTTCATCAATCGACTTCTATATATATTGATTTGCAATCTGTATTATATAGCTTGGTGATAATGTTGTACTTATGTTTGTGGGGAGGCACAAATGGTATCATTCAAGTTAATAATCAGATAATTATAATATTTTTAATGATATCCTCTTGAGTAGAAATTTGTATTTATGACATGTTATGACTTATTACAAGTCACTACTTCAGAGTAAATCAATAAACATTTGTAAAATATATTTTTCAATATTACGAAAATGGTATTTGAGAGAATTTTATGATATTATCAAATATATTACTTACGCCATTTACCTCTTATGGAGCGTAGGTCACCAACCAGGATTCTCGTAACAACTCTCACCTGGGCTTTCCTTTCCAGTCCTAACCAATAGCTATTCATTGTCTAGATGTCCGCTTCCGATTCTCGGCTTAGTGTGTTCCTTGGTCTATCTCGTCTCCTTTAATATTGAGGATTCCAAGTTAGGGCTTGTCTCGTGATGCAGTTGAGTGTTTTCCACAATGTATGTCCTATCCTCACCTCCAGCTATGTCTGCCTCATTTCCTCTTCTGCTGGTTTACTCTGTCTCACATTAGATTGTTTCTGATGGTGTTTTATGAAATGTCTGATAATCAATAAAGTTATTACGTGAAGGTGAAAACTTCAAACTGTATAAAGTTCAAATCAGTATGTTATTCAGTTTAACTATTAACGACTTTTATCTTTGACTGACCTTGAAGTTGATTGATTGGAATGATTTGGTGGAAATTTAAACTGTAACATAACTAATTAAAATCCTCTCATATAATGAAGAATCCAGAGAATTAGGATTTTAGGGCAGTCAAAGAGTGGATGCACCTGTGCCATTGCAAACGGTTTTCAGTAATGTCAATCAAGATCTCTAACCATCGATTACTCTCATCTCACGGGCCCCAACCGGGTAGTCCATACTTACCAACATGACTCAAATCACCTGTGAGTGAATTCATGGATTTCTGCCATGTTTTGCCTTTCCGTCCCTAGATTTCTTCCGACCTACTTCTACACCACAAAACATCGCTTTTCGAGGCAGTTCGTGGCTGGGCATTCGTAACATATGTCCCGACCAGCTCAACTGATGAAGTTTTACTACTTCATCTATCAATCTGCCATCCTTACCTAGGACCTGTTTCCTAACAACAGCATTGCTTACTCGGTTGTCCTAGTATAAACGAGCGATGCTCTGAAGATATCTATGATTATATACTAATAGCGTGCGAATATTCTCAACTCTTACTGTCCATGTTTTCCAACCATATAGTAGGACGGAGCTCAACAGTTCGTTGAGCGGTAGACTTGTTGTTCAGTTAGCAGATGGATATCTCGCCTGTCCTTTCTTATAGACTGGGACAATCGGTGACTGAGACCAGCCAGATGGAATTACGCCTAGTTCCCAAATTATGCCTAAGATCTGCTAAGCCTTTCAGGGCCCGATGCTCTCCATTGCCTTAGTTATCCTACAGCTTTCTCAACTTCATAAAGGCTTGGGGGGCTTACACTGATTTGCCATTCATGTTGACTGGAGATCGTGCGCAACCGAAGTGTGGCTGAAGGCCCCTTGAATTGATCCCTGCAGTGTTCTGCTCATTGATCCAATCTCCTGGGTTTAGAATGAATGATAGGGCCATCCTTTTCCGAGATAGTTCCAACAACAGATGAATTCCTAGTACTAGTTTCCTTGATAAGTCGGAACATTTGTCTACGGTTGCCTATCGCCGCAGCCTTTTTCATCGCTCTTGCTTTCGCTACCCACCACTGTTCGTGATCATTGCGTAGTCCTTTTATCAGCCTATGCTTAAGCTGACTTCGTTCTTCGTCATGTTCGGAGCCAAACGGGATGAGTTTCCGAACAACTATCAATTCGGCAGATCCACGGCTCCTTTCTGACCTCATGATTTACCTTACTGGTAGATGTTACTGCTGTCTCCACAGACTTTCGGATGTCGTTCCAAGCTGCCTCAGGGTAACAATCACTTACATGGCTGCCTAACTGTTTTTCTAGTTGCTTATGAAATATTCTCTAGGCTTTGCTATCATTAAGTAGAACCCTGAGAGTATTCCTTGCGGTGTCTTTCCTATGTCTAGTAAGCCGCAAACAAATATGCGCTCACACTTGAGCTGCCTACTATTATTCCATGTCATTGCCGAGGTTTCTTGACCAAATCAAACAAATTCGGCTAAAAGTTAATAAACCATTAAAAAATTTTGCTTAAATATTTTCAAAATTCAATTTACCTTTTTCAACAATCAATCTTAATTAATTTTCTGAAAACAGAACAAATTTCCTACGTTTGCGAAAAAAATTTCTTTAATCAATAAATTTTCGATTTTTCCTTCATAATTCATTTCCGATAGAACAGAAACAACAAGTTTAATCATGACAAGAAAAATACAATCTCATTATCAATGTAAAAACAAATATTTTCAAGAATAAACATTTACTTTCATTGATTAGGATTATTGATTGTTTTAAGCCGAACATTTTCGCATTCCTAGTTACACTATTGTGTATCTTGTAATATAACAACAATGAAATCCGCTTCATTTTAATTAATCTAGAATAAAAATACTTTTCGTGCTCATTGCGTACATTCGCTAATGATATAATTAGTCTATCGTGAGTTAAGTCAAAGAGAAGATGTTACTTACAAATAATTTGCAATTAGAATTATGGAGATTAGTGTTTTTACACATTTGAAATCAATAACACCGTTGGATACCGACCCAGTGATCCAGAGATTAGGTGTTCGCACGCTAGACCAAAGGTCCCGTGTTCGAATCCTGCAAGGTGCACGAGTCGTGGATGCACACTGCCACGGATGAGTCCCATACCAGGATGAAACGGTCATTTCTCAGTGCTTCCAAGTTTCTAATGGTAGTCTAATTATGACTGATTGATGATTGCAAATATTTTTCTTTTTCTCTATTCTACAATATCAAATTCACCGTTGACTAGTAATTTTACACTTTTTACTGACTTGCTACAGAACACATTGATACAAAAAAACTAATAAAAAATCCAATAATAATACAGTACAATCATTTATTGTTAATTAGACCCACAGAAAATTCTCAGTTTGTTATAATTATCATGATAATAAAAGCGAATCATCATCAATGATTTTCTCTCAATAATAATATCAATTTACATTATTTCACATCAATCGAGCAATTAAATCAACCAACATTTCAATATTCAATGAATGTTTCATGTTGTGATGCGCGCTACTTATAAGTAGTATATGACGCGAGTGTAAACGTAATGTCTGGTAGCAGAAGATGGGGGAAGATCAAGAAAGGAAGAGTGGGAACACAATGGAATTTGTATGAAATGCATGAATAAGTGAAATGTCAGACAATGGATTGATGATGGATTGAAGATTTGCGAATTAACCGTTGACGTTATGGTTTTCCTATTTTATTGAGTAACTCTGTAATTTGCGATGAAAATACAATTCGGTTGCCCTCACCTGTGTTCTCCTTCACTACAATGTCAGTAACATTAACAAATGAACAATAGAAGTGAATATAGTCAATTTTATCTGATACTACACATTTAGAATACTATGGCTGGATAAATCTATTATAAAAAAAGGGTTGGATAAAAGCTGAATGATAAATACTATTATTTTTTAATTTAAAAACGGTTATTTTATCGTAATTTAAGGATCCTACTAATGATTCGAAAATCAATAATTGTAACATTTGATTTTATTCGTTCCAGACCAGCGAATACTGCAACATATGACGGAATTCAGAAGTACGAAAACTGTACATTTTGAAGATTCAGATACTCGCAAGTGGCTCGTTCGAATACAAAGACATTTGGCTTACAGTGGCAGCCGGTGACGCGATGGCACACGGATTTTTAACAGCTAGTTATTTTCTATTTATTATTTAACTACTTACAATTTATTAAGTAGCTTACTTTATTTGAGAAAAAACTGGAATTGAGTGCAAATAAAAATAAATTTTCGAATGAGAAACCAAAATGTGTTATCATGCTGAAAATCAGTGCCTTGTAAACTACTTGTAAATTTCAATATTGCTTTGTGCGTTATTTGATCAGTTTTAATTTTATTTAAAATGCTTAGTTTAGCATATTTTTCATTCTACAAAATCATGTTCATGAACAATGACAATAGCATTAAAAGCGAATTCCCAATTCGCATTTTTGCATTTTGTACAGTTAATCACTAGTAAAAATAAAGAAATATCGAGTTTATTTTTCTATTACTTGGAAATAAAAATTCAGATTAGTGTACGCAGCTACGGAATTGATTTTTTCAAAGTGTTTACTCAAATTGAGTAAGCATGAAGTACAACTTTCTTCTAAACAACGTCAAGACATAGACTGTTGAGAAGTTCGCTTTAATATAAAACAGCTTTATAACGACTAAAGTTACATAGTTTAACCGTTACTAATGCATTGAAAAACTGTTTGTTGATGAGTGAACATACCTTATTCAACCCAACAGAGTTAAAAATGTATGATGTTCGTGGTGATGTTTCGTTCTGTGAGATAGATGTTTTGGTTGTGGTGCTTTCATTGTTCTTCCACTGAACAACATCGTCAGCAGATAGAAAAAGTATTCGATTTTCTAAACTTTTGACCAGTAGCTTCTTCTTTTCACCTTGATCTTGATTGGTTGCTGTTGACCTTAGACCTTTATTTTGATTGTATCCCCATTTTGATCTGTTTCTTGATCCTATATTTGTCTAAGACTTCTCTGATCGGTTGATAAATCGGGTTAATGTCGATGTGTGTGTTGGTTGTTTCTAAAAATTCTCTAATGTTCTTTTTGCCCTCCTATCCAGTGTATCAGCAATGTTCTAATCGTAAGTATGTCAATAGTCGTTCGTACGTATTGATATAAGTGGACAGCTAATTGATGTTCACGTAAGCGAAGCTGAAGAGGACGTAGTGTTTTTCCCAATCTGAGCAATCTGTTTTGTAGATGATAATTAGTTTTTATTTCTTTTTCATTTTGTCCTTTGGTAATTGCTGCAGTTGCAAGTCATAACCGATTTATTTAAATTTTTAATAGTAACAGGATCCAAGAACCATGTTAATTTCCGCTACTAGTACATGCATCGTTGTGTTGATGTGTACGCTTGAGACTCGATCTAAAATTCAGTTCCGAAACAACAGTAATGTTCATAGTTCAGACTAGAAATAATACATACGTATCACATTCGTTAAACATTTTAATGGCTGTATCAAATCAATGATTTTAGGCTTAATATGATGAAGGTTTTCACAACAGGCATTAAACTCGAGTCTCTCTGTGAAATTCAACTCTGAGGTGAAAGTAAATTCAGACAATGAATCCAAACTAAAACAAAATGTGTATTCAACACAAAAAAATTTAATCATATATATATTATTGTTGATTCTCTGTTGGGGGCGTCGAATCCCCAGAATTCACTTGGAAAAGGTCCTAATTTTGTATTTTCGCGTATGGGCTTCTCAGTTAACCTTTAGCTTAGATTTCCCACTCGGAAAATCTTTGACTGTCATTAGTTGATGTATTATTTTAGTACGCTATTTTTTTGGCTCTCCCAAGGACGTTTCTATCATGTAATAAGTAAACTCAATTTGTGTGCTTGTCAATCTCGATATTCTGGGTGCTTCTAGAACACACTTTCCACGCCTTATCAAGACTTCTTACTAAAGTTGGCTGACCGGGGAATAAGAATAGCCTATCGTGTCACTGTATCATTTGTCTTCGCTCTTGTTTACTGAGTAAGGTGAACTCGTAATAGCATTCAAGCATATCAATTAACGAGTATATCATTCTCATAACTTCAGTGACACAGCTGTTATATCGCTAATCTAAGAAGACTAAAATCGAAATATATAATATATGGTAACTTTTCAGTTGAAATTTATTTTTCAGATAGATTAACTAATTAAAAAGTTATTGATTAATATTCTCATAAACGTCAGGTATAAATGTGATGAATACACTTAAGAAAATAGTTCTGAATGCATGTTCTTGATGAGACTTTGTATGAAAAGACATTTTTTAAAATCAACACTAAAATAACTAACTGATTTACATATCATGAAATTAATAAATTACTTACGCCTGTTACCCCCAGTGGAGCATAGGTCCCCGATCAGCATTCTCAAACCAACTCTGTCCTGGGCTTCCCTCTCCAGTTCTGTCCAATGTTTGTTCATTCTTCTCATATCTTTCTCTATTTCTCGGCGTAATGTGTTCCTTAGCCTTCCTCTTTTCCTTTTGCCTTGAGGGCTCCATGTAAGGGCTTGTCTCGTGACGCAGTTAGGTGCTTTTCGTAGTGTGTGTCCACCGTTTCTTCCTGATTTCCTCCTCCACAGGAATCTGGTTTGACATCATGATCTACTTAACTTCAACTATCTGGAGATGTACATCATTCTTAAGTTCATATTTCTCCGATTTTTTCAAAAAGATCATATCAGAACACATCATTCTCTTTTTTTTCATTTCGTAAACGGAGATGATAACCTCTCTATTCCAACAACCTATTGTTATTTTTTGAATACTTACTTTATTCTAAAAAGGAAATTAACAGTGTATACTCACTTCTGACAAAAGTAAATGCATTACTTTCAAATGAATAATAATAATCAATACGATTTAACATTGATTAAAACAAAGTAAACATTATACTGGTACTGTAGTGAAGAAGAACACAGGTGGGGCAACCGAATTGTATTTAGCGAAGATTACAGAGTTATTCAGTAAAATCGGAAAACCATATCGTAAATTGTTAATTTGCAAAATATCAGCCCATCATATTGAACTGAACTGTTCCCGTTGCAAAACATCAATCCATTGTCACTATTGATGCGTTTCATACAAATTCCATTGCGTTCCCACTCTTCCTTTCTTGATCTTCCCTCATCTTCTGCTGCCTGACATTACGTTGACACTCACGTCATATACTACTTATAAGTAGCTCACACCACAGTATGGCTATGAAAATAAAAAGATTAACAATAGAAAATTAGTATACTTTTACAGTTGAAAATTGTTGAATATGATATAATAGACAGATTTAAATTAGTGTATGGGAGTGTGCTGTGCTGTGCTTTGCTCATTACTAACGTATCACTTGAGGGTAATGGTGCAGTTTTCGAACAACAAGGTAGAAAGACAGTCTGTGTTTCGCACAAACTGGATGAATAAGCGTATTGGCCGTTCAATTACTTCATAAATATTTATTTGGAAAGAAATACACCATTGTTACAGACTATAGGAGTTTAAAGTTGATTTATAATATATATATATTACATTGTTAAGATGTGTCGAGTAAGACATTTGATATAGGTTGACATTTTCTAACCTATATATCTGGTTCATAGTACGAATTTTAAGTAAACATTTCACAGTAATAGTGTTAAAGAAACAGTAGAATTAACGATCAGCAATAAAGACACAATGTAACTATTTATAATAGAAGAAACCAATATATTTTGATATTTAACTTCTAAAGATGTTAAACACCTCATATTTGAAACAGAGAATCCTTCTTTTTAATATGTTCGATGAAAGTTCTTTCGTTATATAATGTCTAATACTTCTGTATTGTAGTAGATATGTGTCCAATCTCCTCTCCAATTTATAAAATGTTGAAGTAGCCATGCATTTAACAGCGGTTTTTATACAATTCACAATTATATGTACTAACCGTTTATTGTCGAGAGCAATTTTACATTGGTTTTCAAGAGAATCAGGGAGACTGTCCAAGTGTTAGCATTTCAACTTGAACAGTTTGGCTCAAACATGTGGTGCAACCAAACAGGTACCTGACACCCTGGTGGATCAATCTGAAAGCAGTAGATAAGATAAGCTTTTATCTTAGACCACTCAACCGGGTTGTAAGTACATCTAAAGAAAACTGAGAAACATTACCATTCACCAATACCATATAGACTACTAGCCGACTGATTACGTTTTTCAACACTTAGATTGTGAAGTTAGAATTCAGTGAAATTGCGAGAAAACTTCAAGTCGATTAGAAAACAAATCACTGACGAAAAGTGCATAGTATTTGACCAGAAATGAACTACAATAGTCTGCATGAATTCTGTCCAAGCTGTCAGAAGATGTTTATCGTGAAGTCCATTTCCAACGATGACTTTCGACTTAGACACACAATTGTTTGCTGTGAGACATATATCTACTTTTATCTCCGGTGATCAAAGTATTAGCTTTTCCAGAAACTTCAGTTTTTCTCAGCACCCAGATATCCACTATGAAGAATCTAAAGGACATATTTATGCAATGAAGTAAGGATTAAAACTTGATCATTTAAACATCGAATACCAAGAGGATAATTTATCCCTCTTGGCAAAACAAGCAGGCAATCTAGGTTTCAGATCAGTAATCTAACCTTCTCGAACGGCACTAAGAATACATTCACAGTATAGAAGAGTTTCTCCATTGAGATCTGGATAGGTCACCGGTAAAGGTTGTACTAACAAACAGCCCGCACTGTCAACACATTCATCTTGTAATGACTGGCAAGACTTGTAATCAATATGTTGAATTTGTTTAACATTCATTTGCTGAATAGTATAGTCATAAATGTTCGGAGCAATACTTCTTCGTTGAACCATAACAGCTGAAGAAAATACTAAGGGATTTTTCTTTATGATAAATGAACTCTAAAGTCTAATAGTCTGTAACGATGATGAATTTCTTTCCAAATAAATATTTATGAAGTAATTTAACTGCCAATACGCTTATTCGTCTAGTTTGTGTAAAACGCAGACTATCTGTCTACCTTGTTGTTCGAAAACTGCACCATTACCCTCAAGTGAAAGGTTAGTTATGAGCACAGCATATACGTAAGCATAACTTATTCCCAGCCCCATTTTAATGTGTCGAATATCAATATGCGAAATATATGAGGATGTCAGGGATATTCAGAATGGACAACTCTTTTGTTCGTAACACCTTTCACAATACTCAAAGTCAATTCTAACCAGAAATCAAGTATCAGGATGATTGAAGGTTGATTTGAACCATGGTTGGAAAGTACAAAAGTTTATGAACTAAGCTTGCAAAATTGAAAGTGCATAGAAAGAGATGTAAGTAAGACATGGTAAACAAGATAAGGGAAGGAATGAGCATTTGAAATGTTCTACATGCAGTAGTCGTTTAGATGCTCTATGAGTCTCACAGTTCTTCCAGTGTGCGTCGTTTTAGGTCAGTTGTCGGATAACAGATACGTTTTGTTACAGTCATTACTTATCAGGGACTACATCCTACTCATAAAGGGGAGTTTCGTTCATTTTGTCTTAAATTTCTGAAAAGGAACCTTTATTAACTAAATGCGAGCCTAGATGACCTTGAAAATACATTCATCACGATGACTGAGCAGTTTTTATCAGATCATTGTTGATTGAATCTTTTAGGTAGACTGCTATTACAGTGGTTGTTCATTGTAGGCATTTCATTATTATTTGTTTTAATCATATACGATTCGATAATACAATTCGATACCGCTAATTTCGAATTTGTTTAACAACTCTGAGTTTCAGTTTCAATTTGGAAAGGATAGGAAGCCTGATAGCCTATGTTAGTGCTGGTACTGTTGGTCTCTGAGTTGATCGAACTTTATTCTGAATGAATTGACAGATGAAGCTTCAATCATATATTGGGGTACTGAGTTCCTTCCATTCAATGACGGTTCGATAGGGAAGTCGATGGTCGAAAATACATTGACCTATTTCTTTTTTGTCCGGTATAACTTAACATGGTGGCCAGATCATGCTGCTTCAATAGGATATAATAGAAAATGCACTAAATGGATTTCCATACCAAAAAAACGGTAATATGCGCAACAGGCGACCATATTTCATAGCTTCAGTTTAATCATACTGTGTTAGTCCTTATATCCTTGACAATATTTTACAAACGAACTACCATATATAACAGTCAATCGTATTCTTAACTTGTTCACATTAGAATGAAGAGTCTTCTAATGTAAAAGCTATAAAATCCAGTCGATACCATACTTTTGATACTGATCTTACTTCAAACTGTTGAGTTCGTCACTTGCTATACTTGGAACTATTACGTTCATCTTAGTCGATAAACAAGGTCGAGACAATGAACCAGTGTCCGGGTAGGCTACTCTGATCCGATGACCCAACTGACTGAAGAAAAAGTCTTGATATAGTGTAGAAAGTGTATTCTACAAACAACCAGCAAATACAATTATCTAATGCACACAAATAGCGTTTATTTATACATCATAGAGACGTCCTTGGGAGAGTCATAAAAATAGCACACTAAAATAACACATCAGCCAATCACATCCAAGGATTTTCTGGTGAGAAATGTGATCTCAAGGTCAACTGGTCAACCCATGGTCGGGAACTGTTAAGATATTAACAAAATATTAAAAAATACACCACACAACAAGTTAATTAAAATTTTTAACTAATTTCCATAACTGGTAACTTTGATATCACAGCGATTTGTAGTAACATTTGAAGTTAGATGATGATTAGTTCGTGATATGCTTTGCAACTATTAAGAGTTCACGTTACTTGGTAAATAAGACGAAGATCAATGCTGATTCAATGACATGATAGGCTATGCTAATCCGATCGTCTCAAGCCCCACTCACTAGCGGAAGAAGTCTTGATAAGACGTAAAGAGAATGTATTAACTATCACCCGGAAAAATACGAGGTCAACAAGCACACAACTCAAGCTTATTAATACAATGATAGCAACGCCCTTGGTGTGAGCCACAAAATAATGTCTTAAACAACCAATGACAGTCAAGGACTTTGGGAGTGGGAAATCTAAGCTGAAGGTCAACATAAAAATTCAAAATTTCAGAAATAAATTACAAAATTAGGACTTTTTCCAAGTGAGTTCTGGGGATCTAACGTCTCCAACAGTTCGATATGCCATACATGGGTAGATATATATAAACAGCTGGATTTCTACTGTACAATATACTGTTGGATTACTATCGGAAATGATTCAACTTCAGAATAATGTATATTACCTAAATAATTTGAATAAGAAGCTTACTATTACTATTATGAAGCTTCAACTCAGCGTTATCAATAAGAAAGTATTTTCCATTCATCGGCAAACAAAACCTAAATATCGAACAACATTGTTATCTATTCATAGTAGTCTCATTTCTTTAATTTATTGATTTTCTTTCAAGTTAATAAGTCTAAGCCGGATAACAAAGGTCATATCCTAATCGATAATTCATTCTTATTAGTTTTTTTTATTCCAACTGAATTAGTTGGATTGATTTTGTTCAATTTTCAATACTTTTTATCAATCATCTCTGTTATTCTTCCAGTTCAGTTAAGATTTCAAGTTTATGAAGAATATAGATTGTAGTGCTGTGTACTACTAATATGTCAAACCCTCAAACTGATGAATCTATTCTTCTGGAATCATTCACACATCTTCCAACTTTGCGCCAAAATCGTTTGCAATGGCTCAAGTGCATCCATTCGTTGAGCTCTCTCAAACCCTAATCTTCTGGAATCGTCAGCACCCCTACCTTTGTCTTTCTAACCTTCTCACTGATTTATACTTCTTGAATAATATATTCAAACCCTAGTCTTCTTCATTACCATTAATACCTTTATTATCTTTATCACTATGGGATTTGATTTGACATTTGCGTCTCTGTGCTAATGTGGTAAGGCAACCTGAACTTATGTACATACGTACGAAGTTTTACGTTGCAAGTGACTGACTTCCAGCTTTGTCGATTACTCACTTAGAAATTGATAGTTTTTATTTGAGTTTATTTGGTGTGCATTTCTCACTTCGCTTGTCACTTGTCTAGCATATTTTTATCTGACTATAAACACTTGGTGATGCATTATTGCATGTAATTGGCCCAGTCATCTTTGACACTTCACTTTGCTTCACAATACTTTCTCGTTTTGTATCCTCATGTTTGTCTGCGTGGAAGATTGGATGAAATCAATTCATCGAACTAAATTCGTATTCGGCTTGTTATTACCTACGTCCTAAAAAACGGGGTTCTCCTTAGAATGACGCGTGGAAATTAGACGAAAGAAAGTTTTATTTCGTAGAACATTCAATCGTTCATCTAAATGTAGAGCCAGATTCTCAGCTACTGAAAGACATACAACTTAGAATGCATCATCAATTGATAGTGAAACATATGAAATCTCATTCAACGTCTATACTTCTTCGATTAGAATTTCTTGATGATTTTTCCTTCAACGCTTGTACCTACCTGATAAATAACATTGTTTTATATTATCGATAACAAGAAAACGCAGGTTTAGATCTGTCTAAATATATTCTGAAATCTATTGAAAAATTGATTCGCTTGTTTTAAATAGGATCAACAACAAACAAACAAAAGACAAGATCATTTCATCACATACAGTTTGATACACCCACACAGAAGTGTATGGTGTATGGTGCAAAATGTAAGTACATATATTTATATGTTTATATATATACTACTTGTTAGTAGTTTATCTAAGTCTTTTAAAATGATAGTGAGAATAATGTTAAAGTCTGTAGGAATAGTAGTGATAATAGTTGTTGTAGTAGTGGCAATATATTAAATTCTATGGTTGAATCTTTCTTATACATCTGATATTGATTTCTTGGTTGTTGTTCATGTGTTCAAGTTTTCGGTGGAAGTTTCTTTGACCAGGATTCTTTATTCTCTTTGAAATGATCAACCCATGGACGTGGAACCACTTGTTCAACGACTATTAAAAAAAAATTTGTATGTCGAAATTAAATATGATTCATATTTTAGCCAAAAAATATCATAAATTGAAAGTTTGCAAGGATAGTATTTCCTTCCGAATACTTTATCAATGTCACTGATATCGCTAAAATGAAGTCATTATTTACAGTGTATTTCGAATGGAAGCACTGGACTGCCGTTTTGTCCTGGTACTGGACTCATCAGTAGTGCACATTCGGCCTCGCGCGCGAATGTTCTGTGTTCGAACCCTGTGAGTATCAGGAGTCGTGGATGTGCACTGCTGATGAGTCCCTTATCAAGAAGAAAAGGCCGTCTAGTGCTTCCAGGTTCCTAATGAGGGTCTAACAATGATTGACTGACGCGTTCAGTGTGTACCAGCACTGATCTCCATAACTGTAATTGAAATATCATTATGTAGTTAAGGGTGATAATTCTTAGCGTTATTAATAGGGTAGGTGAATCTAAGCAGATTACTTATTTGTGTTGATAATTATCTCGCCTACGCTATAAGTGATGCAAGTTCGTAAAATCCGATCGAATCATCTGTATCTGTGTTGAGATTTTGTCAAACACCAGATTGTCAGCACCGATGTGATTCCCAAGATAAGTGAGGCGGTTAACACGCTCAACTATTTCACTCCCTGTAACTAGTTCAGATGCCAGATGTCAGCCGATTCTGAAGCAACATTTTTCGTTTCATCAGGTAGAACCGCATAACGAACATGTATTATTTCTTAAGGCGATCAGAAGACTCAGAATTTTGTCTGCATCCTTACCATACAGAACAATATCATTTGCATAGTTGAAGTCAACAAATGAGTCTCCTGGTAGAAGTTCAACTCCTGCGAAGTCATACGAGGAAAGTGTCAGCTCTAAAAGCATGTCAGTGATAAAATTGAATAACAATGAAGAAAGTGGACAGTTGTGATGAATATCACTTAAAGTAACTGACTCCAACGACAGTTCATCATAAGCTATGAGCCTTGCAATGTTGTCATTTAAAAAGATACAGTTTCGTAACTAGATCTCGTGTAAAATGAATAATGTTTGTTTTATAGTATCGTTAATTCCACTCGTTTCAATGTGTAGGTGCGTGCGCGCGCGCGCGTTTCATTTTAAACTTAAAATCTATCCGATGTATTGTATGAAACATAATTGACTTGGTGTTATATATTTTAATGCTTACTATTAAATACATGTAAAAATTATCATTTTGAAATTGATACTTACCAGTTTCTTGATCAGGTGTTTTCGGCTTGGGACTTGTTGGATCAGTTGGTAGGACACTTTCAGTTTGTGGTGGATTAATTATACGTTCAATCATATCACCAAGAACTTGGAAACTTGGTTCAACAATGAAATCAATAAAACCTGGTAGAATAAATCATTAAATGATGAATATCATGTCAATCATTTGAGCTGTAAAAGAATATAACTTAACAGTAGTATACAGTTATTTTTATGTTATATGTGTCTGACTAAAGAAACTTGTTCGTACTGTCGGTTTGTTTACAGAAATCATCTTTGAATGTTATCATCGATTCCCTGATGCATCATTTACGGTATTTATATGCATTAGCACGTATATAATGATTAATTTCGATCCATGATTGCGTCGTCAATCAATATGCTCCGCATGAACAAGACATTTCGACCCATCTCACTTACATGACTGTCAAACTCATTATTATTAGCAATGGTGATATGCTGCAATACAGCACCCCGATGACAATGGCCCTCGACAGCGCTGCAAAACAATCACCAGTATCAGTGAAATCGGTCAATCTGCCAACGAATATTGTATATGGACTATTATCAATACTTGCCAAAGCAATGTCAAACCATCCACAATGTTCACACCGAACCTCTGTTCTCATGGGAAACCTTCAGCTCTCTGTAGCAGTATAGCAAATGCTGTACACATAAAATGACATAATATAGCAAGAAATCCAACCCAGCTTGATGTAAATGAGCTCAAACACTCCTATTGCCCTTTGTCCCATATCGGGTAACGACTTTTTTCGCAATAGAGAAATTTTCATTTCTCGACCAAATGCAACGTGAATTAGGGGTAGTATCCCTTTCCATATAATACAATATGAATAATATTCTACAGTTAAATATTTTAAACAATTCATGCTTCACTCATGATACTTATTTGTTTATGTAGGTATTTACATTGAACAAACAACAAAAAGGAGCCAATGTTAACGATTATTAGAATGAATCAATAGTCTAAAAGCTGTAAAACGTATTGTTTTGAATTTTGATAGAACAGTGGCAAGATGTCTATTGATTTGAAAACTGTTTTCATACATAAATGCACATGTCAAGGTATTTTATATGAAAGTCAATGAAACTTCAATTAACTAAATGATTCTTCAATAGGGCACAAAGAATATTCACTACAGATACATTTGAAGACGATGCGAAATTCTTGAGTGAAAAATTGATTTCAAACGGTTTTATGCCAAAGTTCATCAGTGGGCATAGAAATCAGTTATGACAAAAGCCTTTCTTTTGTTTTTTGGAAAAGAATTGTTTATATTTGTTTACCATTTAAAGGTGAGTCAAACAGTTTAATCTTAAAACAGAGACTCAAAGCAGCCATAGAGAAAACATACTACGCTGCTAAGCTGATTCTAGTTGAACGGCCCAGCCGAAGATCCCAGATAAGCCCGGAAACTGTCCGAATGATTACATCGAATTTTGTTGCATTTATCAGTTTACATGTTTATGTGGACACATACACAGGGAGGAGTCTTTGTAAATTGTAATCATGGGTAATAGGATATGTACCTAAACGGCCACAAAATCAGTTAACATCAGGTGATCCGATAAACAAGATGTATATGTGTCTGATCAGATTGTTGGAAATGTGTAGCGCAAATATATCACAACACTTTTCAGATCAACTGACGTCTTCTCCTTAACCTATTCAAAATTTATCGAAAATGAACTTATTGTTTTTTAAATATTGTTTTTACTCAATAATGATGAAATATACACTTTCTTAACAGTTATTGAATATTTTCAACATTCAATAAAGATATTTTCTTGAAAATCACAAATTACTTTAATGATGACTAATTTTTGTTTGTGAACTTTGTGCAATAAGAGACAAGGAAATAAAAGTAGCCAAGTTGATTTCAATGTTAAGGAAAATGTTTGTCCTTTTCCATAAAATGCTACTTTCTTTCATATGAGTAGTATGGATTTCGTGGTTGAAATTTATGCTTACAATTTATGGAAACTACTGTAAAATAAGGGAATTCTACGTATTCTCTAATTGTTTATAAATATTTTATAAAACTGTTTAATTTTTTCACAAGAAAACAACTTGCCAATTTGTGATTGTGGTACAACCACTGTATTTCGATCACATAGTGGTGATATTGGAAGATTTAATTCACGTTCTCGATCACCCTTTAAATCAAAAGAAAAAATATTTTTGAATGAATACGTAATACTATATATATATATATATATATATATATATATATATATATATATATATATATATATATATATATATATATATATATATATATATATATATATATATATATATATATATATACAAATAAACAGAAGTAGTTTGTGTTTAGTTTTTATGAATAATATTGAGTCTACTGTGATTTTAATTCGGTATTAACTGTTAAATCCATTTTTTGAAGGCTTTGTTTGTGAAAATCTCTCCATGTTTATCTTTGTAATTAGTCCATATTGATTCCTTCAGTTGTACATTTTGTTAATATGTTCGATTCTATTTGAGATAATAATATTTGTACTTTATCACAGTTGCTATTTGTTTTGCCTTTAGTGAGTTTCTATGTTTCTTTCTGAACTACATTTATATTGTTCAAGCTGATACTTAGTCATGGCGAAAGCCATATTGATTAGATTGCTTGGTTTGACTGAAATTGTGCATTTTGATTGTGAATTGAAGCACCTTTTCAGAATTAGAAGCAGTCTGTGTTATAAAGCAACTAAATATTATCTTTTGAAAGAATCTGATCTATCCAGAAAGGATAGAATAACATTTATTTGTTGCTGTTGATTTGATTAGTTGAACAATTGTTGAAGGTATAACTGAGCGGTAAAATTTGTTTAGGTAATGATGTAAAATTATATTTATGATAAATATTAGAACCATCATTTACCCAAATCACTTGTTTTGGTTTTAAACTGGGTAAGCCGTGTATCTAAACTAACTAGACAATTATTTCTCAGTCCAAACCTCAGTTTGGAAACTACATTAACTAACAAAAAATGTTTTTATATCTTTCCCTTGTCTTGTCTTCCAATAAGATAAATAGTTCTAAATGTAATCTTACTGGTTACTGTAGATCCAATCTTGATATGAAAGCCAATAAATTATGCAATGACTAGCTCATGATGATAATTAGCTTGAGTAATCATGCTATTCACTACTTCATGTTCCAGTTCGAGTGCTGTCACTATCATAAGTGATTTATATTTTTAGGCATGCTATATCTAGTAAGGTTTCCATTACTGGAAACATTCAAGAATACAGTGAGAGAATTTGAGGAGGCAACGTCCTACTAATTGGCTATACATGATTCCTAGTTCTATCGGGACAAGAAATCATTTGTGAAGTTAGTATGCTATAGAATTGATCGAAATTTGCCAGGAGAAATCCCAATAATTCATAAAGAGACAGGTATGTGTAATAATTATATCATACGGTTTCGTTTACAGCTTCAACGAAATGTAGTTATCCAGATTTCATATATTCCAAGGAGACAGATGGTTAGTGAAATGTAATTTGTGGGAATGTACACGATATTCATGAGCGCAGCTGTTTGGCTGATCACAATAGCTCATCGATATGAGTGCTAACAGACTCAGAGTTCTATTCAGTCAGGACACTACAGCACTAAATATGATGCACTACATATACTTTTCATTTTCGAATCGTCTGTACCTACAGCACCTATCCAGTTTGCGGCATAAAGCACATACCTAATCTAATATGATTTATGAATTGTCTATAAATTTCAGTAAACTCTGAGGTCTCACAAAAATTTTGACTGATATCAAACATTATATTCTATTTTTCATATATTATATAGTATGCGTTAAATACTTAGTTTATATAGAGTGATCACACTAACACTATGACTTCAATTCGTTATATATTGATGTGAAGTAGTTCAAGAAACTAAACTATTCAACACCAATGTAACGATTTCCAGGAAATTTTAGAAGAAAAGTGATTTTCGAATCATTAAACTCATAGAAATTTTATATCCAATCAAAATTAAATGATTCCTATGAAGTCCAAGGGATTTTCGATCGATAAAAGAATTATTTTAGTGGGAATTATCCAATGGACACATTGAGTACATATTTTAATAACAGTTAAGCTTATCACCATTTCATCAAATAACAATGGTCACAACCTCGAAATTTAAGCTTAAAAGTACTAAAAAAAAAACAGTCAGTTTAATGTTAGCTGTTAAACAACCAACATACATGAACAGTGAATTAACCGTAAGAAAGCTTTTCAGTAAAATTATCTTAAGCAAAGAATAAAATATCAACAAATCTAATTTACGAGTGGTATTTAATGATAGTAGTTGTTTATCGTGGTGATCCGATTGGGATAGATTGGCTGAAACAGGATCCTTTGGGTTTCAATATGATGGAGAATAATTAGATTAAAGATATCAACTGACGGTTTGAAAGGATGATAGGACTGATTTTTATACTAAGAGTATGACGGCGATAAAGTTTTCCTCTTAGACAACCAGTATCTATGTTGGGGATGTTAGATCCCCAAAATTCGCTTGATAATGCCGTATTTCGGTTTTCACGTTTCGCCAGCATGGGCTGATCAGACGACCTTGAGATTTCAATTCCCACCGGGAAAATCCATGGCTGTGATTGGCTGCTGTGTATTTTAGTATGCTATTTTCTTAACTGCCTCAAGGACGTTTCTTTGTTGTATAAATAAACGAGAGTTGTATGCTTGATTGTACTGTGATTGCTGGGTGTTTGTAGAATATACTTCTACGCTTACAAAGCCTTTTATTTCGACTTGGGTATTCAAGGTAGCCTCCCTGGAAGCTGGTAAAAATCTCGTTCGCGTTTATCGACTAAGGTAAACTCGTAATAGCCTCAAGCATACTAAGTGACGAACTTATCAATCTACAAGAATCCAGACTCAGAAAACGTCCGCGCAGAATAATCAGCCTTTTCGCATAGATAATCGTCACCAATAGTAAGGCCATTGAACTGTAGAGCTAACACATTATAAACTACATACAAAGTGCCATGTATAACCAGAGTTAAGCTGTGTTTCTTCAGTCAGTCACTTACAACGTAGAACTTCGTAAGTAGGTACATCATTTCAGGTTACCATACTACATTAGCACAAAGACGCAATTGTCAGTTCGAACCCCATTGTAGTAGAGACAGCAAAAGTATTATCAGTAATGGAGAAGATTAGGGTTCGAAAATATTTTTCAAGAAGTATAATTCAGTGAGATCAAGTTAGAAAGAGAAAGATAGATGTGATTAGGAATTCTGAAGATCAGAATTTTAGAAAACACAGAGAGTTGATGCACCCGCGCCATTACAAACGATTTTGAGCCATGTCCTTCAAGGTCTCTAACCATTGCTGACTTTCGTCTCGCGGACCCCAACCAGGTAGTCTGCATCTACCAACATGATTAAGTCCACTTGTCAATGACTTCCTGGATTTGTGCCATGTGATTTGGTTGGAACGGTATTGCTTTCAGTTAACAAAAACTAGTGATAATCCAGTTTTCATTTTAGACGACTCAAGAATATATAAATTTTCCATGGTGTGGAAAAATGACAGCTGTACTGAGGCCTCAGGCAACTCTACATATCATCATATTTACAACTGATCAGAAAATAATAATAATAACTAACTTGTCTAAAGAATTCTTCACATAATATATCAGACCATTGTTCATGTAAAGACCATTCTTTTGCTGGATGTGATATATCTGCACAATGAACAATTAGAGATAGTGCTTTCGTCTTGTCAATGCTAATTATAATTGAGAAAGTGAGATAGAAAATAAAAGGAATAATTAATGTATCCATTAGAATATCATTTATGATGTTTATGTGTAGATCGGAAAACTTTTATTCATCATAAATAGATAAAACACATTTTTAGTTTCATCTTTTACAATAAGAACTGATCTTAATTATAAAACTGTAGTATGCAAATTCTTAGCAATATGTGTCCAGGACCTCATCACAAGGGGATTGAACACGGAACCTCTGGTCTGACATACAAATACTTGACCTGTGGGTCACCAGTCTAGCACCCCTTGTGGTACACTTATGGAAGCACAATGTCATATTAAGCCGACATCAATAGAATTAACAGCAGTTGAGTGGAACTCTGAAGGAAGGTCAAGGATAAAGTAGATTAGAGAATGTTAGTCGGCAGCCTATGCTCCATCATGGGCAACAGGAGTACGTAAGTAAGTTATTGACAGTGTTCGCTACTAACTATTATTAACTGCACAGCGATTGAAAATTAAATTCCTTTAAAACTGCATGTAGTCATTAACGTAGAGTTTTAAGATGAACTATCACAGTTTTGGTGAACAGCTTTGAGTTGTATAGTCAATGTTAGTTATTTTATAACTAATTGTAGTTATGTCATAACTAACCAATCAGATTGGTTAAGCGCTCACCACGTCATCTAGTCTGACCGGTCTATGGACTTTCTTGTTGTGAACGACCTATCGATTGAAGGATGTTATTATTTTATTTTATATAGATGTGACTCATGTTTTTTATTCATTTTCTAAAGACACGCTATACTGTCCGGTACGTTTGCTCATCCTGCTTGATAATTGTAATTTCCTTATTTATTGTACTAAATTAGTCGTTTTCTTTTTGTTTAGGAACAGATAAAGTTTAAAACCGAATTGTCTTCTGTTAACTATAGTTTCACTGGGGACTCTGTCATCGGCGGTACTTACGTTTACGTTTTTAGAATTACATCTGTAGGACAAATTTAAATCCTACAGTCAATCATAATGATGATGAGGTAGTCACTGACCAATAATCCGGGTAAGTATTGCGTTATATCATTCATTAAATGAAATCGGACCTATAAAAGATAGTATTTTATATTGGTGATACAAAAACATATTAAGCTCACGGTAAGAAATTGATAGCCTTAGTGTTATTTCGTGTGATTTCATGAATAAGAACATCAGAGACATTTCAAACTACATTCGAGCTGTTCTCAATAAAAATTGAATTTACAATTTACTGAACCGTATTAGCACTAGGATAACAAGTCTATGATGATGAATCATTTATGATTGAGTAGAGTGTTTTATTTGCTGATTTATTCAGTTTGAAGTTAACATTAATGATTATTGATGAATTGTTAAGAAGAAGTTTCGACCAATTATTTTAGTATTAAAACTTTACCCTGTCACAAGGAAAACGATAATAGAAGCAGAATTCGATTACCCATACACTCAACCTCTATCCGAATTTTTCTCCAATTTCATTTAAACTTGCTCCAGTTATTTGAGTAAGACTATTTAACATCAATTCCGAAGATACTCATGTTTACAAAACTAGGAGCTGTTTGTTTGGTAAACTTTTTTTCAAGGATGTATCAGTTCCGAAAGTTGTTGAATATTCGAGTGTTTTTTTCATAAAAAGAATTAAGAGTTCTGAGATATAAGTAAGAGCTTGATTTTTGTAGAATGAAACTATCAGTCTGCTGACGTGCTAAGTTTATGATTTTAAAAAATATAGTTTTTAGACTGTAACATGACACAGTCTTTTGGTTATTTTCAAAAATTATATTATAATAATTATACCACTTATAAATATTATAAGTAGTTAGATGACAATTTACGTAAACCAATAATACACTGGATAATGTGACATACCTTTCTGGCATTGAAATCATAGTTTTCATATTTTTGATTTGTTGGAAATGCAGTGACATATCCGTACATAATACCATATCAATTACAAGTTGGCGGAATTCTCTAATAAAGTAAACATTGGAAAAATTGTTTCAATGAGAAAATATTCTGTCAGTATGAATATTCCTAATAGTGACTGAGAACGGATAAACAATTCCTGTTAACATACAAATACAATAATCTAATGGTAGTATCATTTTTTTCTCTCTTGACTCTTATTCATTTGTTTTTCACTGTAATTTATTATCTATCTCACGTTGATCCAATGTTCCTGTTTTTACAGCTTCATCTCAATTGATTAAGAGAAATGAAGATCTATGTGTAATGACGAACACAGGTAGTCAGTCATATTAAAACATAATTTTTAAATATGCCTGATGAGTGAATCTGAAATTTGTGGACAAATTAATTACACAGTTGTCGTTCAATATTTCATCTTTATGAATTGTAAATTATGAAAGTAGCTGTCAAAGGCATATGTATCCATCAAATGAAAATATTCGATGTTTCATTTTTAACCTTGTAAGCTTTAAGACATTCGTTGGTATTTTATGATTCTGTGAGTGATTACCATCATTAATTATTTTATGAATCGCTTTATCCAAAGGGTTCTCTCAAGGAGATTTTCGTCATATGTTCAGGTTGATAGATTTTATGACAACAGAATGTTTATATCCTTATTAATAATTCCAAACTGATGCCAAGACTTAGATATATTTTTCACTGTCACTATTCAACATCAATACATAGTTCAGTTTAAGGAATAATATTTTTTCATAGTCTAAATATTTTAGTATTATAGAGACCTTATTTTTACCTTATGAATGAATCATTATCAGGCCACCATTAGAAACGACTGTATCGTCCTAGAATGGGACTCATCAGAAGTAGGTATCCAAGACTCCTGAAACTGGCAGGATTCGAACTGAGAACCTTCAGTCCATCGACATGGCTGAAAATCGTTTGCACTGGCGCAAGTGCATTCATTCATTGTATTCTCTCAAATTCTAACCTCTTGAATTTGTCAACATCTCTATCTTTCTCTTTCTAAAGTTATCTCACTAAATTATACTTCTTGAATAATTTCTTCGAACCCTAAATTTTTCCATTACTGCTAATACTTCTACTATCTCTACCACAATGGGATTTGAACTGACAGTTGTGTCTCTGTGCTAATGTGGTATGGCAACCTGAACTTATGTACGTACGAACGAACAAAGTTCCACTTTGTAAATGACTGACTGTATATTTCATTTATTACATCAAACTTTTATCATTTGAAAATATTTAGTTGATCTTTCACTAGTTCATGATCCGACTCTAATTTAGAGGAACAATTAAATATTCTATGAAATTGATCTTCCCATATCAAGCTTAGGCGAACCCCGTTTATGCAACGGCAGTAACAGAAGTCAAATATGGATTCAGTTCAATGAGTTTATTCCATGTAGTCATTCACGCAGACAAACTTGAGGATGAAAAGCGGGGAAATCGAAGCGAAGTAGAGGCGAAGAGTGAGCTCACTCAATGAATAAGTATCGGTATTCAGAGTGAAGAAAAGCTAGACATGAAACAAGTGATCACATCAACACTCAAATAAAATCAACCAAGGTTATAAGAGAGCACTAAATAAGGTCGAACGACGTATGAATAATAACTCGATAAGAATGGATTAATCAATTCATTCGAAGGTTGAAACAAACCATGTGTGTTCGATATGTTGGTACACACACAACAATCTAATCAAATCAATCAATGTTATACTTAATCATTATGTAATTAACAAATTTTGATTATTTCACCTTAATCTTTTAATGTTAAAAAGATTTATAAGTTGAAATACTCAGCAGATTATTTAGAAATTACAAAAATATGAAATATTGTAACTCGTACGGGAGAAACAAAGTGTTATTTTGTAAAAAAACATGACTAGCTCGACTTACTTGTATTGATCAGCTTCCAGTCCAGTTAGTATGGAAAATTCTTCTTCTTGCATTAAACGAAAAACTGCACTTACATGATGATTCTCTAAAACACCACGATCATTATAGATTAAAGCTAATTCAGAACTGTAACAAAATCATAGAAGATATAATTAAAATCTATGAGAATAGATTAGAGAATACATTATTCAAATACACTCGTAAATACTAGACAACGTTTCTTGATTGTTTCCTGAAAAAAAATCTCCATCAAAGTTTATACTCAATCTATTTCGTATTAGATTTATTGATTAGGAATGTCTTTTAGGCAGTGATATGCTCGTCAAATGATATGCTTGAATGCTGTTACGAGTTCACGTTACTCGGTAAACGGGACGAAGCAATGATGTAGTGACACGATAGGCTGTTCTAATCCATTTGTCCCTGGCCCAGCTAACTGTATCAAGAAGTGTGGATAATGTGTAGAAAATGTACTCTATATGCACACAAATTGAGCTTATTTATACATGATAACAACATCCTTGGGAGAGCCACAAAATAGCATACTAAAATAATCCATTAACCAATGACAGTCAAGGATTTTTCAAGTGGGAAATGTAAGCTTGAAGGTTAGCTAAGAGTTTTATGCGTGGAAAAGCAAATCATGTGAAATTTCAGAAATAAATTACAAAATTAGGACTTATTCCAAGTGAGTTCTGGGGATCTGACATCCCCAACAGGGAGAGAACAGTATTATACATCAAAGCAACAAGTAGTTCGGTAATGATCAAAGAAGTAAAAATCAGATGGAAAAGTAATAAATATAGAAAAGAGACAGATTACTGATAAAATATTTACACTGAATCTTTAGAACTATACTTGCAAAACATACAGATGATTGAATGTCTTCGTTCACGCTTCTCCTAGTACTTAAAACACCTTAATTATGCCAAGTATTCAGCAGTAACTTCTGGACGATATTCGGCTGCATACTACTTTGACACCTTATAGCACTTCATGTCAATCTGAGCTTATTTACATTTAGTTTGGTTATATACTTTTATCAAATTATTTAACAGAGCTTCGTTCGTATAACAAAAATAACTTATTTGTACCATTGTGCTTTTATTATTGTCACGTTTGTATCAGCAGGTATGATTGAGCATTGCTTACCGTCTGCTCACATATTCATCCTACTAGCTTTAATATTAGTTGCTTAAGTGATTCGATAACTCAATTCATTGTCCTATGTATTTAGATATGTACATATGAATCATGATCGTCCTCTCACTGGCTCACTCGGGCTGGCTTGTGATCCGTATGGTGCAATAATAAACGTTGTAATACCTCCACAGATACCCTCAACAAATAAGATAACTCCTGGATAAATACAAACTAACCAAAGACTGAAGTTACATTTGGTGATGGAGGTGATCTCACCTCCATGATGAGTCTGAATGTGAGCTAACTATATCCTACCTCCATCACGAAATTAAGTAGTAACAAACTCAAATGTATGTGGAGATATTACAACGTCATCACCGCTTCGTATTTGATCTTCTGATTTGTACACTGTTGAGCGTTATTGAGTAACAGTGATCAGAACGTGTAGTATACAATGTTTAGGAATATATCGAATATCAACCGCCACAGAAATGGTGAGCCCGTCTCCATCATACACTTTACTGAATAATTTATTTTCTAAAAAAAGGTGATTTTAAGCAAATTTTATTATTTCCGTAGTTTAAATCATTAACTGATCTAAGCTGAACCATCATTACACACCAAGAAGTACTGGATGGTCATTTCATCCTGGTATAAGTGATATGCTTGCAGCTATTACGAATTCACCTTACTCACTAAACAGAACTAAATCAATGATTCAGCGACACGAAAGGCTACTCTAATCCGAAAGTATCAAGCCCCACTAACTAGGGGAAGAAGTCTTGAAAACGTACTCAGAATGTACGAAGTCAACAAGCACACAACTCAAGCTTATTTATACAATGATACCGACGCCCTTGGTTTACCGAGTGAGAAATATACGCTGAAGGTCAACTAAGCGTCTTTGGCGCGAAAACATAAAAATTCAAAAGTTTGGAAATAAATTACGAAATAAGGATCTATTCCAAGTGAGTTTTGGAGATCTACACTCCCCAACAATAAGACTCTTTAACAATGTGCATTTATTACTCTCGCAGTCAGGGATCAAACATAGGACCTTCAGTTTTATATGTATACGAATGATTAAACTTAAAAATAACATTCTTCATTAATGGGAAGTTTTATATCCATTATACATAAATAATTAATAATTTACCGTGTAGCTATATGGAAATTATTAGTTGTACCAGTATGTTCATAATCATGTATAACAGCAGCAAATAATACAGCAAATATATCCAAATCATTTAACCAATTCTGCTGGGTTAGAAATACAATGCACAATAGGAAAATAAACCAAAAAATACTGATATATTAGTAATAGAATTGATAATTTATAAAATTATTCAATTAAAAATAATGATCATTATATTGACTATTGAATATACTACTTTTTTCATTATATATAATTGATTAATGAAGCTACTGTTCACTGGTTAACTTTGATCGATTCATGATTTCAAATAGACTCAACAATCTTCAAAAACCTATAATGCAAATTATTTCGTGCTCACTAGTGACTAGCTCCGCGAGGAAGTTTCTCCGTGTTCTAGGTGAGAAGTCGTGATTAGTGGAGTTCAATCCTGTTCGGAGTTAGATAATGGCCCATAGGTGAGGTGTTCGCTTGTAAGACCGAAGGTCCTCGATCCGACTCCTGTGATTAGCGGGAGTCGTGGATGCGCACTGCTAATTAATCCAATACCAGTAGGAAACGGCTGTCCAATGATTCCAAGTTTCTAATGGTGGTCTAACATTGATCGGCTTATGATTTCAAAGAAAATATTTATGTCTTCTTTTTTTGTGGTGGTGTTTCGTTCTCTGAGCTGGTTGTTTTGGTTGTGGAGATTTCATTGTTCTTCTGAACAACATCATCAGCACAAACTTCGGATAGAAGTGAAGCATTCGAATTTCTCCACGTTTGACCTGTAGCTTGTTCTGCTAACCTTGATCTTGATTGGTTGCTGTTGACCGTTGGTCGTTGGTCGTTTGAATCGTCTCATTTATGTTTAAGACTGAAATTGATCAGTCTCTTTGGCAGATGTACATCCTCAGAATAGTGTCTCAACATTACCAATAGATTACGAGAATTATTAGCAGAGATGAATATAAATGAATTAATATCCACCGCATCGCACAAGCTAGTAGTTATCTGGACTCCGCAGTTTCGTAGATACTACAATGATGTTTGAAGCAAACAGTACTTAGTTCGAGTCTACGTGAATATCACTTCTGAGCTGCAAGGAGAAATACAAGTCCTCGATTCTACTACAGTGAACGAGAACACAGGTGGGCAACCAGATTGTATTTAGCGAAATTACAGAGTTACTCGGTAAAATCGGTAAACCATATCGTAAATCGTTCATTTGCAAAATGTCAGTTCATCATATCGAACTGGACTGTTCCTGTTGCAAAACATCAATCCAATGTCACTGTTCATGCGTTTCATACAAATTCCATTGTTTTCTAACTCTTCCTTTCTTTATCTTCCCCCATTTTCTGCTGCCAGACATTACGTTGACACTCACGTCATATACTTCTCATAAGTAGCTCACACCACACTACTACTATGTTTATGTTCAAACTAATTTAACAGTAATTTTTAAAATATTGTTGTAGAATAGTATGGTGTAGTGTAGTGTAATATAAATATGAAATAATGAAATTTCTTTAGTATTATGTAATGTTATTCAAAATAAGTAAATTAGAGTAATTATCATGAATAATTATTCATCGTAAATATTATTCAATATTCTTTAAGCTTATTTAATTTCTTTCTTAGTCATGAAAATCTCTTCAGTAAGAATTTTTGTATATCAATGACAGACTAATGTACGAGGAAGTATGTTCATACATATGCGTTAATGATACTATCAGACTAATTGAAACTAAAGTGAGATTTGAATTTAGCTCTGATTGGTTCAATGAAAAATACTGAAAAACACCAAAACCATTTGTCCACTATTATTGATACAACCTAAAACTTTCTAAGTAAAGTGAACATATTAAAAACATTGTATTAATGCATTAATGTATTTATGTATTTTCGAATTCTTTTTCCTGATAAGATCAGTCAACTATGAGTCGCCTAATTCCAAACATTGATCATTATTGCATAATTTGGTTGGCCATTAAACAGTGAGCTAATTTTTGTCTGTCTATATTTCAGTAACTAATTCACTGCGAAATTGATTACACGTTATGTATTTGTATGGAAATTGATGAATTTTTTGGTAATCCATGATGCTGCGGCTTCTCCTTTATACACACCACAAACCAGTTCATGAAAACGGAAGAAGATAGGAGCAACAAGTATTCGGTACTAGCAAAGCTGCTGCCAAAATAATACAGCAAAATACTGTTTTAACTAATGAACAATTATTGAACAGCCAAGTAATCTAACTGATTCCACATAATGTGAAATATGATTTGAAGTTAAGTCGCTGAAGAGGTGGATAAGCTAGAAACTCTGGATATAAAATTCATGTTAGTCAGTAATCGTTGACAGAATGTATATTCTACCTTAAGGTCACTAACGCAGTGCATGACGAAAACGCAGGACAAATGTCGCACTCATTAGTTTGACTCTCATATATCAATCATGAATCAAATAGATAACTGGCTACATCTCATAAAATGAAACCAGATGAAAATTTGACGATAGATAGACATTTTGGGGCACAGTTTTAGAGGTTTGCGTTTTTACACATTTGAAATCATCAATCAATCATTGTTAGACCACCATTAGAAACCTGGAAGCACTGGACGGCCGTTTCGTCCTAGTATGAGACTCCTCAGCAGTGCGCATCCACGACTCTTGCTCCTTGCAGGATTCGAACCCGGGACCTTTGGCATTGTAGGCGAACGCCTTACCATCGGACCACTGGACTGGAAGTAACTACCAAAGACAAATGGGTGAGGTCGTGCAAAATCCCTAGATCAATCACAGTTAGACATTAACACCGTTGGATGCCGGCCCAGTCGTCCGATGGTTAGGTGTTCGCGCGCATTCCCGAGGGTCATGGGTTCGGATCCTGTGAGGCGTAGGAGTCGTGGATGCGCAATACCACTGATGAGTGCCATACCAGGACGAAACAGCCGTCCAGTGCTTCCAGGTTTCTAATGTTGGTCTAACAATGATTGATTGATGATTTCAAATGTGGATAGATAGATAGATAGATAGATAGGCAGATAGAAATGTCCATATTCTCTATTCCTAGTTGATATTTACTTGTTCATTCTGAAAAAAATAACTAAGCCCAGTAAAAATGAATGCACCTCTAGTTTCATTCCCATTATTGAATATATCAATTGTACAAAAAAAAGAACAAATAATTGCGTCGAGTATATTGATATTTCATAATGATAGATAGATAGATAGATAAAAATACGCCTTTCTCATCAATTTGACTTTTTGAAAAAAAAAGTTCAATTTTCAATGCACATTTTCATTTTTTTTTTGAAATTTGTCATTTAACAACGAAATGGGTGTGGTACTTTTATTTTTTATTAAATAAACGTTCTATTTGTAGGATAAAAACAACGTAAAAAAAATTAGAGTTAGATCATAAATTTATTTTTTAAGGAGTGGGCTATGAGATATAACAATTATTGATCGATAACCTTTCTCTGTTTTTTTTCATCCTTTTCAAACGAATATTGAAATTTAGAAAGAAATATAGAACTGTTTCAAGTTATTTATAGAGTTTTGTTAACTCGGTTCATAGAAATGAATGAAAGATATGAATTACAATAAGTTTCATTCTTTGGTGAAATCGGAAAGGAAAAATTAAATTTTGTATGTTTATATTCAATGCTTTTATTGTGTTTAATAGTTCTACTGTTTACTGTAGACAACTCTATAGATGGGAAAGAATCTTAGAGTTAAATTGTTTGTAAAAACCTAGGAGCAGTGGACGGTTGTTTTGTACTAGTATGTGACTCATCAACAGTGCTCATCCATGACTCCCGCTACTCTAAGGTGTCTAATCAAGAACCGTCGATCTTTTGTGCGAACGTTTATTCTCTGGACCGCTGAGTTAGTCGTCGATGCACGTTACTGATAATTCACATACTAGAACGAAATTGTTTCTAATGACGGTCTGACATTGATCGATTCATGATTTCAAATAACTCAATATCCTCCTCAACCTTATAATACAAATAAACCAGAGCTATGAAGTTTTTGACAGCCATCTCGTTTTGGCATGATATGTTTCAGTCGCCTTGTACGACCATGAGCTGACTATGGAGAATCGAATTGAGTCTAGGTGGTAGTGAGGTCACCAATTTTAGATTACTACTGAGACGTTCTATACTATAGGACAAAAACAGATTGTTCACTGTTTTTGTGGTTAATCCAGTTAAAATCAATTCACTGTACTGCAAAACATGCTGTAACTTGAAACCCTCAAGGTCAGATGATAAGATCTAGACCAAAGAACACACTGCATCGAGAATCGGAGACAGAAATTAAACAAATGGATAGTGATTGGGTAGAAACGTTAATTGTTATTGATGTTGTTGTGTTTTGTTTTTGAGAAAACAAAATAACTTACCCTAAGATCATTCATATAGATGATCATGTGACATGTTTGCATGACATCAGCGGCATGAACCAAATTATGATAAGGATTACTGTATTTACTATAACCTGTTTCAAGTTGAATTAATAAACTTTCCAAAGCAGTAGTATTTATCTAAAATAGAAATTTTTAAAGAAAACTTTTTTTTAAAACGAAAAGAAATCACATGTAATGATTTTTTCTTTCACCAATTACAGTTAGGACGACACATTTAAGCGAACAATACTAAAATACTTGAATATTTATCTATGTTCCGATGAAATTCGTGACACCCTTGTCTCTTCCTTGACCAAATATAAGTTAATAAACAATTTTGCATTTGTTTTTCGTATCTTGTATTTGTTTGTAATTTTCTGCCTTTTATTGATTTGTATTCTTTACCAATTAATTATTTTACTCACTTCTTATTACGTAATTGTTATAATGTGATGATTATCTGAAGTCTATTTATCCAATGTTGAACTAATGAAAAAAACTTTTTTTTATGGTATTTTATTTTATTATTCTTACTACTTATTTAACACTTGTGTTCCTTACTATCAACTTGTACTTTTCCTCTTTTATATTGTTGCATAATCTCTATTTCATAGTGATTATTAATTCATAATCAACTGCCTTGATTAGTTTTATGTATATTAGAAAGTGAAGCCTAAAGATGACGATCTAAATTGAAAACAACAGTAATTTATTCTTTGTACATCTGTGTTGTTCCTTATTATTCACAATGGGAATCCTTAAATAAAAAGATTTATGAGTTTCATCTGTTTCTCGAAAAGAATTTATTTTATTGATGACATTAAAAAAAACTATGTCACATCATTAGAAGTATCTTTTCGAAGTAACAAAAAAACGAATAATCAACTCATTACAATTACAGTAGGATGGTACTGCTCGATTATAAAAACCGTAAGTGAAATTTGATTGGATGATTCAAATTAATTTATGCATCTCGATAAATACAATGTGACTAGCAATGGAAGTTCTATGTATGACTCATCTGTACGTGAATGGATCTGCCATAACATACACTGGATGTGTCCTTCAAGAATCAATCCATTAAAAATTGAATTTTAGCTTTTTTAAAAATCGATTTTTGAAGATTTTAATTTGAAATCGATATTAACGAGCAGATAAAATTTAATATACTTTGCACCTGGAAAATCCAACTAAAAAATCAATAATCTGTATTTGCCTCTAGGTGTTATTTTTTTCAAACTAAACGTCATTACAACGTCATTATAATGACAATAATAATAATAATGTCACATTCTCTAGGGGCCAATTATCTTGAATGTCATTTTTTTAAATAAAAATAATATATTCAAAGACCATAATAAGATAAACTTCAGTTCAGATGTGGTTGATTTATTCAAAACAAAAACAGACTAGAACTTCAGAGGGAAATATACTGCGAGAATTGCCATTGATTAACCATAGAAAAAATCATGATGAATATCAAAGTTAGTTATTCTGATTGACTTGATATTTGTTGGATTTTCTCAAGTTTATGTTAATCTAAGTCTCTAGTAAGTTAAACCTGATATTATCTCGATTAAATTATGTAAGTATATATTACTAGTGCATGATTTTTGAAAGATGTGGAAATCTTTACATTTCTGATAAACTAGGCGGGTTTGACAGATTACCAAAGTAAGGGAAGCATTTCTAGGACCCAAACTAATTATCAGTCAACACTAGTCAGAGTGCTTAATACAAACGTCAACACAGTTCTTTTGTATGTTGCGGAAACTTGAAGAAGTCAGCATTCAAAAGGTGCAGGTATTTATTAACAGTTGTCTATGTAAGATATCACTCATCCTTTGGCCAAACTCCATTACAGCAACCTACTATAAGAGAGAACAAATCAGCTTCTACCATCTGAGGAGAAAATAGAGAAAAAGATCCGGCGGATGTGGCTAGGTCACACATTGTAGAAATCTTCCGGATGTATCGCAAGGCAGTCCTCAACTTGGAATCCCCAGGGTCAAAGAAGAATAGAAAGACTAAAGAATACACTACGCCGATAATTGGAGAAAGACATGAAAAGAATGAACAGCAATTGAACAGAACTGCTGGAAAGGAAGGTCGAAGACTGAGTAGGTTGGAGAATAGTAATCGGTGGCCTTTGCTCGATTAGGAATAACAAGAGCAAATAAGTTATTAAGTAAGTAAGTAAGTAAGTGCATGATTACAAAGTACTATAAACATTCATATTTACAATGATAATCTCATTTTATTAATCAAAATTAATCAAAATTACTTACTTGGAATTTATTAATGAAATTATATTTATGTAATAATTCAAAAGCAACAAATTTCAATGCATGATTTTCACTTGCATCATTCAATCCAAACACATCGAAATTCCATGTATCTAAACCAGTCTATATAAGCAATTTAAACATACAAAACATTTTAAATTTTCAATGGTAAACATCAGCATAATCAATAGCTCTGCTTCATCCTAATTTGATTTTTAAAGAACATATGAAGTAAATGATAAATAAATTTTATTATTAAAGTTTCGTACTGGTATGGGACTCATCAGCAGTGCGCGTGCACAGATCCCTATACACGCAGGAATCGAAACGAGGAACTTTCGGTCTTGCATGCGAGCCCTACAGCTCTGAACTACTGAGCTAGCATCCAATAGTGCTGATGTCTAACTCTGATCAATTTAAGTTTTTACTCAACCTCACCCATTGTTTTCAGTAGTTACTACTCACATCCGACAGTGATGAGCCTAACTGGTCACGTGCAGTTAAATATCAACTAGAAACAGTTGAACTTGTACTGTATTTTTTTCTGTTTCAGTTAGACAATTAATATAATTAATATAATATCAATCGCTAGTTAATTGTCACTTATAATAACCAATTTATCCTATCACTATTATAAATGAAGACAGTGGACTAAAGCAGATTACCAGCTGACTTCCTCCACATGTCTTCTAGTTTTCAAAAGAACTCTGACTGAGTCATACATGTGGATCTAACATTCTTCACTTCAGCAATAACTTCTGCATGCCACTTACGAGTCCTATTGAAAGTAGTATATACCACAGTATGACCTTTTAGAACATACTAAGAGTGTGACTGTGCTTAATTTCCATCAATCTTACTTTTATTCTTGTGTTTACACAAAGTCACAATGTGCCACGTTATAAATACCTGAGAATTCGTCTTAATACAATTTATATTATGGTTGAAATTAAAAATTTCCATAAGTAAGGATATGTTATGCAATAGATTTATGAAATGATCAATTCCAAATCAATATTCTATCAACTAATTATTGAATTCACTTCAAATTCAGTCGATTTTTGATAATAGCAACAGTGGTTTCATTCAGTATGAAATGTTTGGTACAATATGGGATTCTCAGCACAGGATATTTCAACAAGTTTCTTTTTCAATCCATTTTGCCAGCCACTGTGATATCTTTGATTGTACTATTCTGTAGATGATGAGGCGATAGGTAATGCAACTAATTGACATAGTCGACGCGTTAAAACAAACACAGATAATCCTTTTAGAATATTTTGTATGTTAAGAAACTGGTTTCACAGAGATTCAGGCATGTCGCCAAGATGCTGAGACAATGAATGCTATTGACGAGTAACTCTGTGGTTAAAAATCATTGTTAGAATTTCAAAAATCATATCTTCAATTTAGCTGCTTATGTATATATAACTATCATTTAGTCAGGTAATTACAAATTGTCCAAAATCTGCAATATGAATTACTAAATTCCTAACCAGTGACTTTTAGAAGTTTTGGTAATAAACATAAAATAAATGTTAATTTTGAAATTTTAATAATCAAGAATTCATACATTTATTCTCATTATTGTAAGTTTGGTTATGAAAGTATAGTATTCTTAGAACAATTGTTTGTAAATAATAGATTGAAATCTTCAGTCAATCAGTGTTAGACCACCCTCAGAAGCGAGAAGCACTGGATGGCCATTTCGTCCTAATGTGGGACTCATCAGTGATCTATAGGGTAGACATTCGCATGGGAGATCGAAGGTCCTGGATTAGATTCGAGGTTGTAAATGCTCCACAGCTGATGAGTCCTATGCAAGGATGAAATGGTTGCCTAGTGCTTCAACGTTTCTTTCGAATAGTGTTCTAACATTAATCGGTTCATGATCTTACTGAAACTCATCAATCTCCACAACATTATAGTGAAAATAATAGATTATCTATTTCAGTAAAACAATAGACAAACTTACTTTAAGAAATAGGAGTACATTTGGTGGAACAATAAGACTGGAACAACTTGACATACGACGATAAATTCTAAATAAATAAATTTTTCGAAAAAAATTCAATAACCAATTTAAGTTTTGGTTATTTTATTTAGAAAAGAAATATGAAATAATTTGAAATCGACAAATCGTCAGATGTTTTATGAATTTTCATGATATGGAATGACTGTGTTGCAATATGTATGGGATAAATATACGAAATTACATCATTGGAAAGTTTCAAATAATCAATACAAACGGAGTAAACTTCACACTATCACACAAGTGAGCAGCTATCTAGACTTAGTAGCTACGTGGATAAAATGATGACGCTTATGAAGCAAAAGGTACTGGGTTCCAGTCTCGGAATGAACATCAACTCTGGAACGTGACAGGTAAACCAAGCTAGAAACGAGTCCCAAATACAACGAAACGCGCATCTTAGATTCTACTGCTACCCACTATCTATTTTTTAACTGTTTAAATATATTTGAAATAGTCTGTTTTGTTTTAAATTTGTTTAAAATTGATAATTGATGAATATTGTACTATTTTAAACAAGATTATAAATTTTTATTATGCTGAATAGCGAAGAATTCAAACAGGAATTCCAAAGTTTGTGAAATATATTTACCTGTTTATTGAACGTTTAAAAAAGTGTCAAAGATAAATATATTGAAGTTTAAGCATTTTATAAACGTGCAATAGAAACACTATTGTTAAGTTCAATAGTTAAACTTGTATATATACTAACAAAGTATTTTTGTAAATAAATAAATTAAATTGTTTTGTAAAATGAAGGTTGATTAAAATTAATAGATGCGCACTGCTGAGGAGTCCCATACCAGGACGAAACGGCCGTCCAGTGCTTCCAGGTTTTAATGGTTGTCTAACATTGATCGATTCATGGTTTCAAAAAAAAAGAATATTTTTGAATTTTGAACATTAGTTTAAAGTAATATTTGAAATAGTGGAAAACATTTACCATGAATTCCATTTCAACGAAAATCAAATCTTCAGCAATAACTCATAGTTTCTAGTTCCGCAACATTATAGTTGAACAAGTTATTTTTATAATAATAGTATCATATACATATAAGATGTAGAATTAGCTGCTGTAAGAATTTTATCCTTTGCAACTGATTGATCAAAGGGTAGTGACCACTGTCCAGTGCATCATCTGCTTCGTAGTGCTGATCAACTTCTACCGATCAGATTACAATGTGATGAGTCAAGTCATTTAGAGTGGTGGTCACTGCAACCTGATCGGTAGAATTCAATCTGCAATAAAGAGGATCTGATGAACTAGACACTAAACACTATCCAGTGATGGATCAATTGTAAAAGCATCTCGATTCTACAGGAGGTCAGTCACGGCTTGAATATCTAAGTGGTAACATCTCTGATTATAAAACTAAGTGACACAGGATTGATCGTTTCCGATCGATTAGTGTCCTTAAGATAACAGGCGAACTTTGTTGACAAGTGCCGAATCACACAAAAACTAGATCTGAAGGTTTCTGTAGACTAGCTCATTTGATTGAGTCACAAGACAAGCCCTCAATTGGAACCTTCAAGGTTAAGAGAAAAGAGCAAGGCCAAGGAACACATTTCGCTGAGAAACGGAGACAGACATGAGAAGAATGAACAAAAATTGGACAGAACTGGAAAGGGAGGACCGGGACAGAGTAGGCTAGAGAATACTACTGGTTGGCGGCCTATGCTCTATTGGGGGTAACAGGCGTAAGTAAGCTTATTTGATTATTTTTGCCAAAAATTAAAAAATTTAAGTATAATGTTTTTTCAAAAACAACTTTAATTTACCTTTCAACAAATATTCCAGCTCTAATTGCATTAGCAACACTACGAAATCTTGGTTTTTGTTCACCAATACCAACATTTTGTACAGTACGTGTAAATGTTGATGCAAGCCAGTTGCGTACTTCATCTGGTACATATTCTGTAGCAGCCTCAGATAGATCTTCTTCTTCTTCACGAATACGTCTGTAAGAAAAAACGAAATTACATCAATCAATACAAAATTATTTGTGTTGTAGTTAAGATTTTAGTAAAATACCGCTTCAGTTGAATTTGAAAATGAACAACTTGAATTGGACAATCAACTGTTTATTTTATTCTTCAATATTCCCACTGAAGTAATCAAAAGTCGAATGAGAAGTCAAGTACTTAATAGGATGATGAAATTAGTCTAATATAAGTCCATAATCACTGAATATTTGAATATGATAAAGAAAAATTAGTACTCAAAAAATTCTCTTACCTGATTCCACACGTCAGTTCATTTGACACAAGTCAACTGGTAAGATTCTGTAAAACTTTCTAGGTATGGTTCATTGTCTTTTGTACTGTCAACGTACTTAAACTTTTAACCAATCTAATCCCATGATCTGTTATTTCCCTTTCAACTATTCATCTTTAATACTAGTTACATGTGAGTTTTGAGATGTAATTTCAGCAGAGAATGATAACTCTTATGTCTAAGAAAGAGGAACGACTGTATATTTTATTTCAAGACTTCTTGGACCTGTGCACCAATCTCACAAGCAAATGTTAATCATTACTGTACTCCAGAAAATAGTTCAGTGACTTTCCACAATCAAATAAAGTTCTAAAATCCTATAACATATAACCATACTGTTTGTTATCTAATATACAGAATAGGTAAGCTAAATATTTCATAATAAACATTTTAAAATATTCTATGCGTATTTTAAAGATTTCTCATAAATAATATTGTGTCTGAATCTAAATTAGGATAAAATAATCTAGCGGATTATGGACGCAAATCGAAAAACTAGACACTACATACTGTTAAGGATAAACAGTCACTGACTACTCAAACATATGATATTGAATGACTCTGCAGTACATCACTGTCTTCATTGAGTATGTCACAGTTAATTTAATTCAATATAAAGTACTGAATAGTGTTTTCCAGATGTTGATGGGAACTGTTGGACCCTTTAGATAATCCGATCCACTATTTTTTATAGATGAAAACATGAACTAATCTAAGCTAGACCACCACTGAAATACTGGAACGTCGTTCCGTTCTAGTATGGGACTACTCGACAGTGCGCCTCCACGATTCCAAGCATGAGAAGTAAGCTCGAAACATTCGGTTTCGCGCTCGAGTGCCTGATATTAAGACCACTGAACCAGCATCCAGCTGTGCTAGCGTCTAACTCTAACCAATCTGTCATAGTTAGAAACTCTTTATCCGATGTCTTTTGTAAACGATTGTCTCCCACTCAACATAATTTCAACTCTATAAGCCACAGCATCCCACCAGAACATTAGGAGTGACATCTTGAAACTAATCATCAGTCAGTGCACGATTATCATCAGTAAGGCTGGTTTGTGGAGATTATACAACATTCATGGTTTAAATAACGAATTGTTATCAGTAATAAACCTCTAGTTCTCCACAACTTCATACGTTCCACCTATGTTGTTTCATTTCATTTCAATTTTACTTAGCCCATCAGCCACAACTTTAAGAGAATTCGATCAGCCCAAATAACTAAACAATCTAACTACAAGTTACTACTTAACAATCAAATTACTGTACAGTTAATATTCTCACATTGTTCTACAATAAGCAGAGTATAACCGATCAACCACTACCATATATATATATATGTGTACCATTAATGAAAATCTAATTACTATCAAGATGTTTGTAAATTATACTTGTAAATTATCTATCATACAATTGGAACTTACCGTTTCTCTGCTATATAAGCATTTTCCATAACGTTTATTGCATATTGTATATTTTTCAATAATGTTGCTTTACCCATACGATCGGTTTCAATCATTCGATAAATATGACGCATTCTTTGAAAATTAAATTTTGGGCAAAAAAAATTTAACCAATTGATTAACAATAATTATTTATTTTTAAAATTAATTAAATAAATTGATTTAAATCAAGTACATTAATTACAAATTGACAGTTATATATATATATATATAAATAGCTATGATATGCTTAGTCAAAAGAACGTCCTAAATAATCAATGAAATATTTTCATTATATCAAATTTCTTAACTTCACCTGGAGTTCTTCAGGGGTTACTGCTGGTCCAAAAACTCAATATAGAAAGAGGGTTAAGCATGGGGTTAACGACTCCATACTGTAAAAATCCAACTTGCTCAGAGAACGCTAACCAGAAAAATAATTATCTGGTCGGCGGCCTATGCTTCTTCAGAGGGTGACAGTCTTATTCTCTTAAATTTTTCACAGCTTACTTGTCATAAACATAGAACGTTTGAAATGGTGTGGAAGATTTGTAGCTGAGATAGATCATTCATGTCATCGGTATGAAACACAGTGTAACAACATTGTCCAGAATGACAAAATATCAGTAAAAATAGTAGCTACAAAACTTTTCTTATCGTTTTTTGATGAAATGCACGACGTACATTCTCTATTAGCGGAAATCTATCAGCCAGCAATAAACATTTATTTTACAACACAATTCTTTTGCAAGATTAAGAGGGGATATATAACAGTCTGTTGTTAGTAACATGTATATGATTTGGAGAATTATTACATACAATGACTAGGATATATTGTCCAGGCAGTATCGAAACTACATTCTAGTATTTTAGAAGTGTAAGTTGCGGAAGGTAAGTAACTATGATCTACTAAGTGGGTGCTTCATCTTACCGTCAAATTCTTTTTTACGATGAATACTTATAAGCTTAAGGTCTCATATCCAACAAAACAAGGATTTATAAATCCCCTGCTTCTATATATATATATATATCGATAATCATGACCATGCAGTGTTTATTCACAAAAATATATGTCCAATAGTGGCCTTTCATAAGTTACTTGATTAGTATACTGTGTCTACTATGAGCTATTAATCAACCTAGATTGCCTACTGGTGTTTAACTTCATGAATACACAAGGTTCAAGTTTACCCTGGTTAAAATGTTACTGCTTCTTTTCAATGTTAAATGTCTATTTTTAATTATCATCTAGTAAATAAAAACGCATGAAATGAAGTTATAAATGAAAAGTATGTGTGCTTTTAATGTTGTGGTTTCTTTTCAATGATGGGGGTTGATATAATGTAGCCTTAAAGAGATATCCGATAAAACCTTTATTATTCTTCAGGTTTCTTTTTCTTTCTCAATAATAAGTGTTAAATGTTTCATTTATGTATATCATTCAACAAGAACTTCAATCTTTGAAAAAAATTATATTATCTAGTTCATTTGAAACGAGATTAAAAAAACTTCATACCGTTTGATGGCGGCGTGAAATTCGAAGTGGGGCAGAGCATTTTAATAGCCAGATATCTGACACCATTTCTTACGAACGATTCAGTAGAATATGAAATAAATCCAACCCTCCATTTCTGTATATCATACTTAGGTGAACCTCATTTGTGCGACAGCAGTCATTTAAAACCCAATATGGTTTGGCGGATGAATTTATTTCATACAATCATTCACATTGACAGATATGAGAATGAATAGTGTGCAGGCAAAGAGAAGCGAAACGGAGAAGGCGATCGAGTGATGAAGTAAGTATTTACAATCAGACAAAATAAGCTAGACATGCGATTAGAGAAGTATGCATCCCCATGCACAACTCGATTAAAAACAACCAACGTTATAAGCGAATAATTGATAAGGCCGAAAGATATGTCAGTAACTAGAGAAGAATGGGTTAAATAATTTGTCCTAAGAGCTGGGACAAGTCCAGTAAGCTCGACATACATGTATACACAAAATACAACTGCTATCACTGTCAAATTTACTGATTTACGAATGCTTGATTTATGTACATTTTAAGAAATTTTATTGACTTTCATGAATCTAAAACCACTTGATGGATTATATAAATATCATGTACCAAAAAATATTAGTCAAACAGAATTATTTTCATGGTCAAAATCACGAATTGATCTAAGTTAGGTCATTGTCAGAAACATGGAAGCACTGAAAGGCTGATTCGTCATAATATAGGACCCCTCGATAATGTGCATTCGCAACCCTCGGACCTTTGGTCCTGCCCGCGAGCGCTTAACCTCTAAACCATTGAGTCAGCATCCAGTGACAATAATGTGAAACTTCAATACTATTACAATAACTTACCTTACATAACATGCTCTTAATGACTCAGGTGTATTCACTGTTCTTAACATATCTGTATCATTTGGTATTTGTGCATATTGACCCAATGTACATGTAGTTAAATTTCTATAGAAAAATTGTGATACACCTGATAATGCACATTCTATGTCAAGTTCTTCATCTGTTGTCATATTTGTATCCAATGTTCTAAGTGATACATCTTTTAATCCTATAAAACAAAAAGAAAACAAATTTAAACAAAATAAAGTTATTGACAATTATTTCAAAAACGTCTCTTTCCAGTTAAATATCATGAAATATAAATAATTTTTTTGGTTCGCTTTTAAATTTTAGTATTTTTGATTAGAAATTTTATTAGTAAACTGAATTTTATGTATCACTGTAAACGTTTTGTAGTGATTGATGACATTTCATGGTTTTACGTTTACGGATTGATGTTAGTTAGACGGCCATTAAAAGTCAAGAGGTGTTAAACAGCTAGTTCTTTTCATTATTAAGTTTATCAGAGGAATCTAACTTAGAATACTCAGATTTCGTCGTGAATATTTGACATCAAGACCAATAAACAGTGCTCCACTGATGTAAATATTTGATTCCAATCAGTTCTCTGTATTCCTCAATAATCCTCTAATGCTGTTAGTGGGCAGCTGCCCTAGGTGCATATAGTATGGGATGTGTACTAATATGTTGAGCTTACATAGCTTGTCTAAGCTTTTAGAAAAACCAATTAACCTTTTCTATTAACAGGTCTTTCAACCTTATCAATTATTTGCTTATAATCCTGGTTGTTTTTACTTAAGTAAGTATTTGCATTGCTTAATTCGCTTATCACATGTCTAGCTTATTTTTATCTGACTATAAGTACTTAAGTCATTCCGCATCACACTGAGTTGGCCCACTCGCTTTCTCCACTTCTTGAGTCAAAGTAACATATCAAAATAAATACCGAATCTGAATCACCTTGGCTTGATAACTAACCATGTAGTGCGGTTCCTTCGGTATTTGGATATTACGTAAACAATTATGTATTTGTAAGAACAGATATTTTGAAAAAATTAAGGTAGAATTATTAGATTTACTATTCAATTAAAACCTTGACAGATTAGTCACTGATTGCTACTTCTATCTGAAGTTTGTGCTGATGATGTTGTTCAGAAGAACAATGAAAGCTCCACAACCAAAACATCCAGCTCAGAGAACGAAACACCCCACTACTGATAGCTACTTTAGTAGCAATATTTGAAAGTACAGTCATTATTTACAGCATTTTCGAATCTCACATTAGATCTATACTGTTCTAAAGTAGTGAAAGTGTCACTATGAAACTATCTATTAATTCTTTGTTTTAAATTTGTTTTATAGTTCAATTCAATACTTTGAACTTATTAATTGAACTACTGAATAAGATGAAATCTCTGTCTCATATATGTTCATTTCATACAAAAAAATATCAGTTATTCTATTGTTTAAATGTAATATTGTTTATTAATGAAAACATACTATTGAACATGAAACACGTATTTTCGATTATTCAAATTGAACGGTACTGCTATACATAAATAATTAAGAGAATGTCAACATTTCTATCATACTAAACCAGTCAGAATTCTTGTTCTACTCAATGACTGTTTTAAGTAGGTTTATACAAACGATGACTCATCATTATCATCATCATCATCATCATCACTGTTATGCATAGAAAAAAGGTAATTAGTTTCATTTTTAGGATTAAATTTCCCTTTCCTGATTACAAATCCCATAACGACTGACTAATCGATTTTTTATTCATTATATAAATTAACCAGCTATTGGCCAGGACAATTTTACATTGGTTTTCAGGAGAACCAAAAAGACTTGCTCACATGTTACCATTTCGACATGAACAGTTCGGCTCAATTCCGTGGTGCAAACACCACACACGTACTTGATATTTTGGTGGATCATTCAAACCATTTCTATACACTAGTACATATATAGTGATTATTTTCGATCCATGATTGCGTCGTCAATCAATATGCACCGCATGAACAGGCAATTTCGACCCAACCCGCTTACATGACTTTCAAACTCATTATTATTAACAATGGTGATATGTTGCAATACAGCACCTTAGGAAATGTCCCTAAACAACCACCACCAGTATCAGTAAAATCGGTCGCCCTGCTAACCAATTTTGTATATGGACTAATAGCAATCCTTGACAAAGCAATGCCAAGCTATCCAAAATTTTCACAGTGAACCTCTAGTCTCATAGGAAACCTTCAGCTCTATATAGCAGCACAGCATCAATAGTGTTGCTTTTAATTAGACAAGATATGCTGAAAATACGGTAGTATTAACTGTCTTTACGTGGCATGATGGTTACCCAGTTCTATAGATCATCTTTCTTTACTTTATAGAATAATATAGTCTTTTTATTCTAGTAATAAAAGTTGACCGAAATTCAAGGAAGATCTGTCACTATTCAGTAAATTATAGTCAACTTATTTTGAATACGACATAATTATTTAATGATTAACACTCCTGTGATATTGAAAAGGATTTTATCATCTATAGAGGGAAGTATTTTCTCACTGCATACAATTTTAAATGAGTGACTATTGTCATCTAAAATCGTATTCTACAGGTAAATATGATTTTATAAGAAAATTACGTAACTTGATCAATGTGAAATCAATTAAAAGAGTAACTGTTCTAGGGTTCAATAATGACAGTTATGAGGGTCATGAAGATTGTTATGCTTCATTAAAATCGTGAATTGATCAATGTTAGACCATCATTGAAATCATGCAAGCAGTAGAAATATGAATCCATTGCCGTACAAGTAGGAATCGAACCTATGCTCTTTGATCCAGTGCTGCGAGGTTATTTTGAGTGGTGGTCTAACATTGACGAAAAATCAAAAAAAAATATATATCCATTATTAGTAATTTTTACTCATTAAAAGAGTGTTATCGGATGAGAAACACATTGTGGAGAGCATCCAACTGTGTCACAAGACAAGCCTTCATTTGCGACCCTCCAAGTCAAAGAATAATAGGAAGGTCAGGGAACACATTACGCTGAGAAATAGAGACAGATATGAGAAAAATGAACGAAACTTGGGCTAAAGTAAAAAGAAAAGCCCAGAACAGAGTATGCTGGAGGATACTGGTCGGCGGCCAATGCCCCATTGAAAGTAACGAGCGTAAATAATAAGTAAGTAATAAGATGTTATCACTACATTATACACAAATCAATTAACATAATAGTCTGTAGTATTGTTGAAGAACTACCAAGAATCAGAGTACTCTATTTACATATTTACCATTAGAACTGTGTATTACACATCACTTATTCTTATTATGTATAGAAGGTCAACATTACATTGTTAACATTTTAGTACGCCTTGGTTCTGTGACTTTTTAAAGGATAATTTCATTAACTGAAATATAGTTTCTTTCGAAAGTAGTTCACCTCTTGAAAATATAACTGTGAAGTAGTCGAAGTTATTGTAAACTGTCTTGTCAGTAACTGAATTAAACAATCGAAAAAAATTACTATCATTATTCTACGGTGTTGCTTAAACGAATGAATTGTACACCTGAAGCATTGGACAACTGTTACGTCCTAGTATAAGAGTGCACACCGATAATGCTGATAGGGATTGTAATTGTCTAACACAAATTAATCTGTCATGTGAAATATTCTTCCCTAAAATCCCTGTAACACTTAAAAATATTGACTTACAAACAAAAGAATAATAAGTTAGAAATGATTGTTTTCTTTAGAAAAGGGAAAATTATAACTCGCTAATAACTCAAATGTTATATTGTCTATGAAATGTCAAGTCGTTCAACTATGTCACTATCAGAGAATTTACATTTTAATCTAAGTGATTAGTAATTTTACATTTTCAATGACTTGTTACCTAATAAAGTATCTAAATCATTTGATGACTTTAAATTTCAATAAGCAATAATGCTCACTAGCTTCATGCGGAAATACTCGGAGTTCTAGTGAGAAGACGTAACCAGTAGAGTTCAACCCTGTCAACTGTAGTCAGTAACTACCGAAGACAAATTGATGAGGTCATGCAGAAATCAGAGTTAAACTAACACCGTTGAATGTCAGCCAGCCAGCCCTGTCGTCCAGAGGCTAGGAGTTGGTACTCAAGACGGAGGTCCTGGTTTCGAATCCTGTGAGTTACAGGGGTCGTGGATGCTCACTGCTGATGAGTCCCGTACCAGGACAAAGCGAACATCCAGTTCTTCCAGATTTCTAATGTTGGTCTAACAATGATTGATTCATATTTCAGTAATAAGCAATAATTTCCATCGCTCTATATTGAAAAAATAATTGTTTTGTTTCTGTATGAGATTCCTCATCAATTAACTTTTCCATAAATTGAGCAAACTTGTACAAAAGAAGAACTATACATTAGTAAAACTTACCCACTCCATAATCTAACAGATCTATACCAGATAATACATAATTATTTCTAGAATTATCCAATTTCTCTTGATTAATCATTTTATCAACTTCTTCATTAAGATTTCTTATACCAGTTTGATTCATTGTTTGTATATCGAAAGAATTTTGTTGGATATCATTGGTTAATTGATTTTTTGCCGGACTTCCAGCTTGTGAAATACCAGTTGATGCACAAGAGCCCATACACAAATAATTACCTATATTATAATAATATTAATAAACAGAATGATTAGTATTGAACATATTTGTAATGAATAGAAATATATATATTGTATTAACTGATAAATTTTACTTGTAAAACACAAATAACTAGAGAATTACTTACTAATCACTTACTCCTGTTACTCTTAATGAAGCATAGGCTGCTGACTAGCATTCTTCAGCCTAAACTAAAGAATATTATTTAATAAAATCAATTCTGATGTCTTATTCGGTTTTCGATCGTCTTAAATCATCTTAAACATTGCATGGCTAAACTGCTTTCAATAACCAATAGATCTTGATTAAAATAGGAAATTCTAAATATTTCTAGAGTAAGACTACTTGTTTCGCTACTGATTATCGAAAACGTATATCCTCAGAGTGTTTTTGGAATGTAAAACATTTGTATTGATTGGTTGAATCATTCCATTGATGCTTAGAACTTCACTTGATCAGTCATTTTGGTATAGATGTATTTTGAGTGTGGATTACCTCGATATTGCCATTAAGTTACAAGCAATATTAACATCCAGCTGATGCATGATAAATACGAAGAAATGTAGGTCCTCCATTCCACTACTAGTCATCATTCATGTCTGCTAATAAGTTGTAAAACATTTTTCTTAACAAGTAGTATATAAAAATGAAACTATTTACTGTTGCTATTATCTCATTAAAGTATCTAGTGCGTGAACTATCTAAGACATGGCAAACGGTAGTCAAGAACTATTTTTAAGCTATTCTTCAAAGTGATCGACCTACTAGAGTACATATCATTGTTTAGTGTGTGAAAATATAGAACTCATCAGCAGTGCTCATCCACGACGTCCACACACACAGGAGTCAAACCCATGACCTTCGATCTCGCGCATATTAATATTTAATGGCCGTCAAGAGGTCCCAGGTTTCTAACGGTAATCTAGCATTGATCGATTCCTAATTTTAATTTTCAATCTCAATAAAAATTAGTTTTGACTAAATGAGAGATATAGGACACTCATCGTTTCATTTTATTTCGGTCTTTCCTGAGGATAAACCTGAATCCCAAGTAGGATGAAACATACATCCTGGATTCCAGGGTTAACTATTCTGAATAAAACTTGCGACAAAACATTTAGATCGAGATAAATTTCACAGGATACACATATGCCAACAAAGGCTGATCCAAAACTCAATATTGAATGTTAACAACGAAATAGTTAGAATCTTTTCTAATAATGATATTGTTGAATTCAACTTCGAGAAACAAGATTTACATAGATAGTAGTTTTTATTTATAAACAGATATATTCTAAAGAAATCCAAAAAACCTTTGGATAGTTGTTACGTTCATATTTTCATAATAATATTCAATATTACCACACAATCTTGAACTTTCAAATCCTGTTTCTAGTATGATAATTTCCAACAATTTAATTGAGATCTTAACATTGACAGCTCTTTTTTAACTTTATCCAAACGATATTTTCATTTATTGACATTTGTTCATGTTAGACAGGAAATATACAATTAAAAATTTTTTTTAATATAATCTGCTGTTTATTCTTTGAAATTATAATTTCACAATCATTCATATATGTTTTAATATTAATTTGATGTAATTATATGTTATTCAAATTGTTGTAAACTTTTCATTGCAAACAATGAAATGATTTCAATTGAAATCATGGATCGGTTAATGCTAAACCATCATTAGAACAAAACCTGTAAGTACTGGACTGTCGTCTCGTTCTAGTATAGGACTCATCAACAGTGCAAATCCACAATCATTTCACGCGGGAATCGAACCCAGGACCTTTGGTTTCGTGAGAAACCGCTTAATCTCAAAATTACTGAGCTAGTATCCAACATTGTTAATATCCAGCGCTTACAGATTTCTTTCTAGTGGTCGTCTAACATTGATTGATTCATGATTTCAATAAAACTAATCAATCTCCACAGCTCTTTGATGAGGATAAACCGGATATTACAAATCAGATCGTCATGTAAACAGAAAACTCTCATTTCTCATGTTAATCTCACTAATACTTATCTTGAATGAATTACTACAGGAAGTCAAAGATTATTATTAATTTAAACAAAGTGATATAATGATTGAAATGTTAGAATACAATTAATTGTTCATCTGAGCTACAAATATTTTCTACAGTACGGGGTTGTGAAGATTGTTAAGTTACACATTTTTTGGTCCGATGGTAAGGCGTTTGCCTACAATACCGAAGGTCCTGGGTTCGAATCCTGTGGAGTGCAGGAGTCGTGGATGCGTACTGCTGAGGAGTCCCATACCAGGACGAAACGGCCGTCCAGTGCTTCCAGGTTTCTAATGGTGGTCTAACATTGATCGATTCATGGTTTCAACAAATATTTTAGCCATTTAATTACTGGAAAAAACTACTTATTTATAGATTTTAAGAAAATCTTCATAATTCAAGCCCTATAAATGACTATAATTAAGTCATCAATTAAAACCACAGTATAGTAGATGGTTGGTATTGTCTTAGAATGAGACTTCATAACAGTTTGTATCTTCAACCTCGTAGTTAGGAATCGAACTGTAGATTTTGCAAGCGAACTCCTAATCGATTAACCATTGAGTCTGTCTCTATCTGATGATGTTATTGTCTAACTTTGGTTAATTCTGGGTATTTTATTGTTTTCATTGATTGTATTGTAGACAGATAACTGTCTACCATCTGACATGATTGAACTTCACTAGTAAATAAACATCAAATTTATATCTTCATTGTTTGAATGAATTAATCGGAAGTTAATTCTTTTTGTAAAACTAATCAAATTCAGTTTATGTTACAAGAATAGTTAGAATAGTTATAAGAATTTTAAAGTAGTCTGATTACAAATTGCTTCAATAGAATATCAAATCTTAAAGTACGTTTATACTAACTATTATCAATAATCAATGGTTATAATCAAATAAACAGTTTACTTTACCGTTAGTCAATACATTATGTAATAGTAAAATGGTTTAAAGGTTCCATTTTGTGTACACAGAATTCGATTTCATTTAAGTTTATGAAAAAAAGCGTATACAAGAGTTTGAGTTAAGTATTTCTGGTTAGTATAAATTCTCTAGAAGAAGTCTAAACAAGATTGCTAGAAAAACACACTGGAATTGTTCAAATTTCAATTGCTGAGATTATTTCCAATAGAATATTTACAATTATTATCTTCTGTATACTTGGCACATAATTTCTTCCAAACAATTCATTCAAATAGTGACGAATGTTCACTTATATATATGTATCCATCAATTAAAGAGTTCTAGTATATTAAAACAAATGAACTAACTATATGCGTATGTATTTATATATGAGGCTTGCAGTAGAATCCAGCACAAGCATTTCGTCAAACTTGGGACTCGTCAGCTAGGCTCTACTGCTAATCAGATTCTATTTATTCCATATATACTTGTGTTATATTTGCTTTATCGAGACAATCCTGATCAAATTTCAGTCAAAATAAATTTCAACACCAGAATAATCCAAAATCACTCAAAATTGTATCTTTAACAAGTTAATCATTCCTGATGATCGTCAATTTTTTATTTAAATAGTTCAACGGAAACAAGACAATGTAAATGATATTAATATAATCAGATTAAAATTGCATTTTGAGCTTAAATGTAAATTTTACATTATAAACACATAGTCATAATTCAAATAAAACGTTATTCATTTAGAAACAAAAAACTGTTATCAGGAATAAATTAATAAGGCTATTTGAAATCTTGAAATATTTCATCTTGACAATTTAGAAATAATTTAAACAACATATATATAAAACAATTTGTCATTCATTACTACTTACATTGACCACCCCTCAATCAAATTTTCTTATCTAATATAATTGTGAAAAGATGAAGCTTCCCTTCAACAGTATACTACTTTCTATAAATGATAATAATTTCAAATTTCAAATGATCCACAATAAAATCTTGAAGATGGCACAATTTATTGTCTTGTTTAATTTCAATGTTATTATAATAATAATTATTATTATTATGGTTCATAGAATTTTACATATACAAACAACTCCACTGAAGATTGACTATTGAATGATCAATATTCAATGTGAACGATATCATTCATTATCATGTTGTTGTGTAAGGTAACATTCACATAATCAATCTACAATCACAGTTAATTTTTTAAATGAATTTATATGATTTGCATAAAAATATATTCTTATCGAAAATGATGAAGCAAATGTATTTATTTAATTTATACAAGCATATTTATATTATTCTGTATAGTAGTTGTATAGTAGTAAGTAGACAGACATATTCTATCCCGTAATTGTTCAAGTTCAATTTTCTTCAATTGTCAATTATAAATAAATTACGTGAGAATACAAACTAAAAAATTGAAAAAAAAAACAAACAATTGAAACAGTTAATTTGACAATTTTTTAGCAATGAACAATTGAACACAATGAAAATTAGGGGAAGGGGATTATTTATTCTCTCTATCTCTCTCTGAAAACAAAAGATTGCAATAACCTTTTTTGTGAAATTCACAATGATGAATGAAGTACAAATTTCGTTTCTTTGGTACATTCGCTCTTAAAGAATCATAAACACATATACTTAAAAGTATATACATTGAATAGACAAATAACTGAGTTAGTTAGTGAATGTAATTCATTTTTTTCAAATTACTATATCTTCAAACGAAGTAAGTCAATTACAACTTGAAAAATCTCCTTTCATATGAGCACACACACACCCATACATACGTACGTACGTACGTACATGCATGAATGAGTAGCTACGCATTGAAATACAACATATGTCTTTGTTGGACAGTGAATAATCACATATTATAACAAATATAACAAACACTAAACGTCTTACCTAAAAACAGAATTAATCAATCATAAATGAGAAAGAAATCTGTGATAGAAATAATGTGTTTTCATTTCTCACTTAATTATTGCATATATATATATTTATATATTTATATTTTTTCCTTTGTAAAGCTTACCATGAAAATTTATCCATCCTTTATTTTCGCCTCATTTTTAATTCGTCAAATAGTTTAAAATATACGTTGTACAATAAAGATGAATTTCCATCCCATTGCACTTGGATTTCATGACATAAAAAAATATATTTATATGTACATATATGTATGTATATATATAATTATCCTTTGTTATGGTAACTATAACAACCGTTGCTCAGTCATTTGTAAAAGAGGCATTGATCGAATTTCAAATGGGATGTGTCATTTAATTTCGAATGTAAATACACTTAACTAAATTCGATTTGAAAAAAAAGCGAAAAACTTTTTTTTACGTTAACCACACGCAACTATTCACAAATTGTATATAAATGTACACCACCAATGCATTTAAACACATTCAAACACGTAAACAATCAAGGTTGATGATATTGTACAATGAATACTGTAGTAGTACATTGAAGCAAATGAACATTTTGAAAGAAAATAAGTAAAACTCATGAAAAAAAAATCACAAAGCAGTAAAAATGAAATTATTTATAGATGTAAAAAAAAATAGAACGTTACAAATTCAATCAGAATTTATCACATATACACACAAGCACACATCGAATTCACAAAGTTGATATTCGATAAACTAAACCCTTGATCACTTTCTATTCACAGAATTATTTCTCATTTTAATGATAATTATTTTGTATGTGTCTTTTTAAAACAGAATGGTGACGAATAGTTTTATTCATATTTCAATATGTTTTATTTGTGTTGGTTTGTTTTAATTCACATGAGGATTTAAAAAAGTTGATAAAATTAAAGGAGGTAAATGAGAACTATTGATTGTAATTTCGTTGGTTAATTATTGATCGATATGATCACTAATTATTATTTGTGGATGAACTGTGTGCACAAATGAAATTTTACGAACAAAGTTAAAATGTTTTTGTTTTCTAGATTTGGAGCATGAGTTTAAGTAACTGGATTATTTTACTGGTTAAAATATGTATATGTGGTCAGTAGTTTATATATATATATATATATATATATATATATATATATATATTTGTCACAATTGTTCACCTATCCTGTGAAATAGATTTTCAAATCTATTACGGAACATAATGTTTACTTGGATTGATGTCATTTAGAAGAATAGTTAAAAATAGAGAGCATTAAATAAATGGTTTTCGATTCCTGATTTATTAGTGTGTACCTTGCAATCATGATTGAATCATGGTTAGACCACCTTTAGAAACATGAAAGCACTGTACGGCCGTTTCGTTCTGGTATTGGACTCATCAGTAATGCTCACCCGCGACTCCCGTAACTCACAGTATTCGAACCTAGGACCTTCGGTTTTACGCACCAATGCATAACCTCTAGACCTGTGAGCAGGCATCCAGCCGTGTTAGTATCTAACCCTGACCATTCCAGGGATTTCTGCACAACCCCACCAGTTCGTCTTCGGTAGTTACTGCCTACACTCGATAGGGTTGAACTCCACTAGTCACGTTTTGTCACCAGATGTCGGAGAATTTCCTCCTGAAGTTAGTCACTAGTAAGCACACTGTATGATTCTCCTATTAGATTGTTATGGGGATGGTAGTTCTTAACTTAAAATCATGACTGAATGATTTTTAGACCACCACTAGAAACCTGGAAGCACTGTTGTTGTGAGGAGGGGCATCAGCATCGTTATATCCGAAAAGACCCGGCTTTCATTATGAAGCGTCATAAATGTTTTAAACGAAGACCTTTCAACCCCCGGGGCATAGTTTAAGTGGTTTAGATCATTTTCTTTGGTTAACGTTTTTTAGCAAGTTTGTTTTCTACGGGATGTGGTTGTTAACCCCATGCCCAACCTTACTCATTTATCCCAGCTTAGGACTAGCGGTAAATCCAAAAGGGCTCCGAGTTCAAAGGTAGGTTTCAACAAACACAAGAGGAAACTTACGATCCTCCGACACAACACTACATGCACCAACCAAATCACACCTAACGGAAAAGCTCTAGAAGATGTGGAAACCTGTACATGTTCGGACAGTATCATTGATAAACAAGATGGATCTGATGCAGATGTCAAGGCGAAGATCGGCAAAACAAGAACAGCATTTCTACAATTAAACAACATCTGGAACCCAAAACAACTATCAACTATCAAACTTGGAGAGATTAGGATTCTTAGATATTGAATGGAAGACTCAATATTTGAGAAAAATACAATATGAACTATTGCACACGTGACAACAAATGCAAGACTAGATGACCAGTGTAGCAGCAACCTCAGCAGCAGTAGGTCTCAACATACATAAAGGGAAAAGTAAGATTCTATGATACAACACAATATGCGTCAACCAAATCACTCTTGATGGGCATACCTTGGAGGAGCTTAACACCTTTACATATCTTGGCAGCATCTCATCAACAACCAAGGTGGATCCGATGCAGATGTGAGGGCGCAGATTGGCAAAGCAAGGGCTGCATTTCTACAATTGAAAAATATTTGGAACTCCAAACAACTATCAATCATCACCAATGTCAGTATTTTCAATACAAATGTCAAGACATTTCTACTGTATGTAGTGGAAACTTGGAGAACTACCAAAGCCATCATCTGTAAGATACAAGTGTTTACTAACAGCTGTCTACGCAAGATATTGTGGATCCGTTGGCCAGACACCATCAGCAACAACCTACTATGGAAGAGAACAAACCAAATTCTAGTGGGGGAAGGATTAGGAAACTATCCAAATACATTACAAGGCAAGCCTTAACTTGGAATTCTAATGTCCCCAGGAACAGAGGAAGACCAAAGAACATTATACGCCAGGAATTGGAGGGAGAAATGAACAGGATGAATAGCGATTGGGTAGAACTGGTAAAGAAGGCCTATAATAGAGTTGGTTGAAGAATACTGATCGGCGTCCTATGCTTCATGAGAGGTAAGTGAGTGATGACTCAGTCGTAAGTAGATCCTACAGATAAGTCATTCGTTACTGTGTAGTTTTCATATGATAATATTAATATCTTATACTGTCATCTTATTATCAAAGAAATAATTATTGTTGAGATTAAGTATATCAAATATTGGTCATACTTATAGTGATGATACTTCTTTTAATCAAAGATAGATTTATTCAAAACGTGACTGATATTAATTGCCAACTTTTTTCGTGTTCTACACTTGATAGTTGAATTTTTTTGAGTGTTCCTTAGTATTACGGGGGTTGTGAAGATTGTTAAGTTACACATTTTTGAAAGCACGAATCGATCAATGTTAGACCACCATTAGAAACCTGGAAGCACTGGACAGCCGTTACGCCCTGGTATGGGGCTCTTCAGCATTGCGCATCCACGACTCCTGCACCCCGCAGGATTCGAACCCAGGACCTTCGGTATTGTGCGCGAACGCCCTAACCGATAGACCACTGAGCCGGTGTCTGACGGTGTTAATGTCTAACTTGATCAATTCACCGAGTTGCGCAACCTCATACTCAGTCTTCGGTAGACATTGCCTACACCCGAACAGGTTGAACTTCACTGGTCACGTCTTCCCACTAGAACTCAGAGAAGATTCCTCACGAAGCTAGTCACTGGTGAGCACAGGTAATTTGCATTAAGGGGTTGTGAAGATTGTTAAGTTACACATTTTTGAAAGCATGAAAGCATGTTACTTAGTAGTTGAACATATTAAAGATTTGCAAAGGTGAAGAAGATGATTAGATTATATGAGATACATTGTGATTATTAACTTGTTATTGTCTCACTTGCATAGAATATGAAATAACTTTTATTTGTTTTACTAGAGCTAATAGGCAATGGAATTAATTGTTAGCACTGAAGACAATAATGCATTCAATCTCATTAAAATAACGTCAGTGTCTGAAACTTCTTTGGTTTTCGTCAGCTTTCGAAATGACAGTTCATCTATGAATTATTTTCACATGAATTTCAAATAGCCGAGTATGAAGCTAACTGTTAA